TTTCAGTTTTGAGCTGCCTGAATGGTTGCACGCCACTCCACGTTTTTCACGTTTGTTCCCGACTCCCTTGGACCGCAGACATCATTGTATTTTTAGGGAGAAAACCTGGTAGGTGGTGCAGCACATGGGGGATTTTAGACTGAAACATACTTTGTCAATACCTTTCATCACCTGCGGGAACCAAGGTGAAGATCTTGAAGTTGCTGAAAGGTTTGCAGATCCAAGGAGTGGCTCCCATGCATTCCTTCCTCGGTTTGCTGCAGGATGGCATCACATGTACACAACAGGGCAAGTGGTGGGCATGGCATAGCAAGAAGGCTAAAGACTCGCGGAGAAAGGGAGGCACCAAGGAAGCAAAGCTCGACAAGTCGACGGGAATGGTCACGAAGATGATGGTACAAACCATGGGAATTTGCTCAGCATTGGCTAGGGCCTTGGAGCTGTAGTTGCAGCAGTTGCAGTGCTGTTACACAGCTGTTGTACAGTTTGTTCACATTCGTTCTTGCTAAAATAAAAGATATCAATGACTTCACCTGCTGGAGCACAAAGATTTTTGCTCGCATCTTAAGTGTCCGCTGTAAGGCGGCCGTGATGAACAAGGCAGCTGTCCTTATCCTCGAGCGGGTTAATCAGGCAGGCGCTGATTTTTGAACATATTGAAACAGAGACGAACCGGCCAGGCATGCTCGACATTTGTAGGCCATGCAGGGTCCATTTTGTTTGCGAAGGAAAATTGCACTTGCCAGGGAGTGAAAAGCCGGTATCTCGAAACAAAGACCTATGTCATTGACGATGAATACTTGGCATCACTCCGCGACAAGGAAAAACTACCATCTTCCGCGTCTAAACGGCCCAGAAGATTCGATGGTGGTCTGGTTCTTGGATTTCTGTCAGCTCTACGTTGGGGTCATTGTGAGTGCGTTTTAGGCCATTTTGGGCCACTCAAAAGTCCATCAGGACATTTTGTGTTCTAGTGATTCTAAATTAATGTTTTGTGTACTTGAGTTGTGGTTCTTGTGATTGCAGCGCTGTTGTTGCTGTTGTTGCTGTTGTTGCTGTTCCTGTTCCTGTTCCTGTCGTGGTCGTGGTGGTGGTGGTGGTGGTGGTGGTTGTGGTGGTTGTTGTGGTTGTTGTGGTTGTTGTGGTTGTCGTGGTTGTTGTGGTTGTTGTGGTTGTTGTGGTGGTTGTGGTTGTCACGTATATTCATGCACCGCCCCACTATGATCACAGTTCCTTGCTGCCAAAGAAGAGGACGCACACACACACACACACACACACGTATGTATATATATATATTTATATTATATAAGATAGCTTATAATTATAATGCACATACTAATGTATAAAGTAGTCGCTGAGAACGCACAGAATGACATCTGATGAAATGATGCGTTTGTGTTGCAAATATCAGAAAATCAACTCATCCCATCTCCGTGTGGCTGAGGCGGAGCGGCATCAGTGCGAAGCGGGAAAAGCCACAAAAGCGCCAAAAGTGCCAAAAGTGCCAAAAGTGCAAAAAGTCAAAGGACCCAAGAATCCACAAATGTTGAAGAGACAGAAGATCCTCGTGAATCGCGGGACAGCCTGAGTGTTATTTGCACTGAAGCCATTTTTGAAGCGTTGGAGTGGGAAGTAGATTGGACAGCTCCATCTTCTTCGAACTACGGAATCAATGCAGGGCCGCTGAAAAAGAAGTTGGATGAGCTGGCCAAGATTTTGGCTGGCACCCAAACTGGAGCGATTCCCGAGGCGCTTGAGACGGTTATGCACACACCAGTTGAACTCGCTGAAATGTCCGTGAGACAAGCAGCTTGTTCCAGAGAGGCAGCCGAAACTGTGGAGCGTGCAAGGCGCAATCACCTTTGTCCTTTGAACGGCCCATTAGCCAACGAGCTTGCGATTCTGACTGTTCTGGCATTAGTGCAGGCAGCTCCCATGAACCTTGACTGTCAACCCAGCAATGAAAAGACCTTGCAGCGAATAGATATTTGTGTGCTTCGAAGTGGGCTCGAAGTTGCAACTGCTGAAGTAAAAGGTGATATAGCCAAAGCGAGGAAGGCGACTTGCTGGCACTTCAATGTTGCTATTTCATTGGTCACTTGATGTCGCTTCTTTGTGCCAATTCTTGCATGAATGGGGTGTCTGTAAGGGGCTTCAAAGTTGAACATGTTGGCTTTATTTGAGCACCAGGAGATGATGAAGCAAGGAAGAACCCAAAGAAAACCTGGCAAAAAGTGGCTGGTTGGTGGGCGCTTTGGCAACCAGAGCACGGAACCGGTGACAATTGGCAAGATCTTGAGCACTCAGAAGGACCTGCCACCTGCGGATATTTGCGCTCTCTTGGACTTTCAAGATCCTACTGTCCAAAGCAGTCTTGACCGTGGTGGCTTGGCGGGGTTTGGTGTGGGATGGTGTGGCCACTAGAAGTTGGCAAAGACTTCAGACGCCTTGTTGTGTTTTATGAGGCAAGGTCACAGCACAATAGCAAGACAAATCAAGAGACATTATGTTCGATGGTTCGGAATGTCTAAGATCCTAGATTCTGCAGCCAGTTAACTCATTGAAGTGGTTTATATTAGAGAGAGAGAGAGAGTGGAAAGCAAACCAAGGGTTGGACGCAAAGATGGAGGGTTTGGGCGATTCTACTTTGGCTAGCATTTGTTCCAAGTCCATCCCAACAAAGTCTTCTTCCGTCATGTCGCAAAAAAATATTATATGACGTAACGTAGATGATTGGATGCAGATGCAACTTGGATTTAGGTTCGTTTTGTGCGAGTATCCATGATTTTCCATGAGCATGTTGCAAGCCCTACAAAGCCTTGCAGCCTTGTTGAGTGAATGAGTTTAGTGGTGAGCGTTTTTGGTGAGCGTTTTGGTACGCCGAGCTTTGAAAGATGAAGCATGAAACATTCAAATGCAACCGAACTGGAAACAGTCCAGATGCTGTCCAGAAGTTGTTTTTCATTTCCTCTTTGAAACCGGCAACAGCTACAAGAAGGAAGGCTCCTTTTATGCCCGCAAATTGCAGATGACAAAAACGCCGCAGCAGAACATACAGGGGACATTGGTCGCTTGTGACCCTAATCACTGTTTCTACGTTTTGAAGTAAAAAAGATAGGGTCACAAGTGACCAGGTGTGCTCGAAGTCCCACACCTGCCACACGAAAATGGTGCGGCCCCTTTGTGGTCGCCTGTGACCCTATTCGTGCCCGAAGCATGATTTTTGGAGGAAGTCTCGCAGAAAAGCTTCGTTTAAGGGCTTCGAAGCTTCATTTTTGAAGGAAGTCTCGCAGAAAAGCTTCGTTTAAGGGCTTCGAAGCTAGGTTTTTGAGTTTGGAAGCTTCAGTTTTGAAGGAAGTCTTGTAGAAAAGCTTCGTTTTAGAGCTTCGAAGCTTCATTTTTGAAGGAAGTCTCGCAGAAAAGTTTTTGTGTTTGAGTTTCGAAGCTTCATTTTTGTAGGAAGTCTCGCAGAAAAGCTTCGTTTAAGGGCTTCGAAGCTACATGTCATTTATTTATCTATCTATCTATCTATGTATCTATCTATCTATCTATCTATCTACCTATCTAATTATCTATCTATCTATCTGTCTATCTATCTATCTATCTATCTATCTATCTATCTCTATCTATCTCTCTCTCTCTCTATCTATCTTGTTATCTTATCTTATCTTATCTCATCTTATCTTATCTTATCTCATGTTATCTTATCTTATCTTATCTTAACTTATTTTATCTTATCTATCTATCTATCTATCCATCTATCTATCTATCTATCTATCTATCTCTCTATCTCTCTCTATCTCTCTATCTATCTATCTCTCTCGCTCTCCCTTTCTATCTTGTTATCGCTGTATCTCTTTACCTCAACTTCTAAAAACGGTCCGAACATGGTGTGTTTTGTACATGTTGACTCTCTCTCTCTCTCTCTTTCTATCTCTTTATCTCTCTATCTCTCCATCTCAACTGCTAAAGGCGGTCCGAACATGTTGGTTTTTGTGCATGTTGACTTCGAAATGGACGTCACGCCACAACGGCGTGCAATTTTGTATTTCTCATCTGGGCAGCTGGCTCCGCGCCCGCCGCTGTAGCGAGCTTACTTGTCGACCCTCCGGAGCCACAAGGCATTGGAAAACACTACCTTTTGGCTCCTCTGCATCTTCTTTCTTCTGACTCGTTCTCTTCTCTGATCTGCTCTCTTCTACTCTTCTCTTCTCTCTGCCTCTTCCCATCTCTGCTTTTCATCTGCCCATATTGTTGGAAGTTTGATTTCGAAACTTCCTTCGATAATGCAAAATATATTCACGAAGAAAGTTATACACAGACAAACTCGCGGCCAGACAATTATACAGAAAGTTGCGGCCAACCTTAGCAATCCATGCGTCGGTGATGCACTGAATTTCACCACCATTGACAATGGTATAGTATGATAGTATACTGTTATATCCATGCATGTCCATCTATTTGTCCATTAGGGCATTAGGGCATATCCATTCACATTGTACATGGGTTGTACAAGTCTCGTGACCTTCCAATATGTTGCACTGTGGTGCTCAAGTGATTGCTGAAATCCTGGGAGAAAGATTAGTTTGTGAAGTTCATGCGCGCACTTGCGCTAAAGAACTTTCAAATCGCATGTGCCAAGTTGCAGTCCTCAATTGTGCCAAATTTGGTATTGTGTCGTCCGCAGTGGCATTTTGCCAAGGCAGAAGGTGGGTGCAGCATCACGTAGACAAGAAACATATAGTTACGTATTAGGCTTCAATCTGCTTCATGTCGTATCACCGTAACGAGTCAAGTAATGATGTAAGTACGATGATCCGTCCCCCCTAACCAAACCCTAAATGGCTGAGTCAAGTAATGATGTAAGTAGAATGATCCCTCCCCCCCAACCAAACCCTAAATGGCTGAGTCAAGTAATGATCTAAGTTGAATGATCCCTCCCCCCAACCAAACCCTAAATGGCTGAGTCAAGTAATGATGTAAGTAGAATGATCCCTCCCCCCCAACCAAACCCTAAGTGGCTGAGTCAAGTAATGATGTAAGTAGAATGATCCCTCCCCCCCAACCAAACCCTAAATGGCTGAGTCAAGTAATGATCTAAGTTGAATGATCCCTCCCCCCCACCAAACCCTAAATGGCTGAGTCAAGTAATGATGTAAGTACGATGATCCCTCCCCCCCAACCAAACCCTAAATGGCTGAGTCAAGTAATGATGTAAGTAGAATGATCCCTCCCCCCCAACCAAACCCTAAATGGCTGAGTCAAGTAATGATGTAAGTAGAATGATCCCTCCCCCGCAACCAAACCCTAAATGGCTGAGTCAAGTAATGTATAACCTCTCCCCCCCAACCAAACCCTAAATGGCTGAGTCAAGTAATGATCTAAGTACAATGATCCCTCCCCCCAACCAAACCCTAAATGGCTGAGTCAAGTAATGTATAACCCCTCCCCCCCAACCAAACCCTAAATGGCTGAGTCAAGTAATGATGTAAGTAGAATGATCCCTCCCCCCCAACCAAACCCTAAATGGCTGAGTCAAGTAATGATGTAAGTAGAATGATCCCTCCCCCCCAACCAAACCCTAAATGAGTCTGAGTCAAGTTCCCCCCCCCAACCAAACCCTAAATGGCTGAGTCAAGTAATGATGTAAGTAGAATGATCCCTCCCCCCCAACCAAACCCTAAATGGCTGAGTCAAGTAATGATCTAAGTTGAATGATCCCTCCCCCCCAACCAAACCCTAAATGGCTGAGTCAAGTAATGATATCCCCCCCAACCAAACCCTAAATGGCTGAGTCAAGTAATGATCTAAGTTGAATGATCCCTCCCCCCCAACCAAACCCTAAATGGCTGAGTCAAGTAATGATGTAAGTACGATGATCCCTCCCCCCTAACCAAACCCTAAATGGCTGAGTCAAGTAATGATGTAAGTAGAATGATCCCTCCCCCCCAACCAAACCCTAAATGGCTGAGTCAAGTAATGATCTAAGTTGAATGATCCCTCCCCCCAACCAAACCCTAAATGGCTGAGTCAAGTAATGATGTAAGTAGAATGATCCCTCCCCCCAACCAAACCCTAAGTGGCTGAGTCAAGTAATGATGTAAGTAGAATGATCCCTCCCCCCAACCAAACCCTAAATGGCTGAGTCAAGTAATGATCTAAGTTGAATGATCCCTCCCCCCCAACCAAACCCTAAATGGCTGAGTCAAGTAATGATGTAAGTACGATGATCCCTCCCCCCTAACCAAACCCTAAATGGCTGAGTCAAGTAATGATGTAAGTAGAATGATCCCTCCCCCCAACCAAACCCTAAATGGCTGAGTCAAGTAATGATCTAAGTTGAATGATCCCTCCCCCCCAACCAAACCCTAAATGGCTGAGTCAAGTAATGATGTAAGTTGAATGATCCCTCCCCCCAACCAAACCCTAAATGGCTGAGTCAAGTAATGATGTAAGTAGAATGATCCCTCCCCCCCAACCAAACCCTAAATGGCTGAGTCAAGTAATGATCTAAGTTGAATGATCCCTCCCCCCCAACCAAACCCTAATGGCTGAGTCAAGTAATGATCTAAGTTGAATGATCCCTCCCCCCCAACCAAACCCTAAATGGCTGAGTCAAGTAATGATGTAAGTAGAATGATCCCTCCCCCCCAACCAAACAATTGCATGGTGGAGAGTTTTTAAAGGAGACAATTGCATGGTGGAACGCAGGGGGGGTGAGAGTTTTTAAAGGAATAGGGTCGCAAGTGACCGTTTTTTAGGGTCGCAAGTGACCGGGGATTTTAGGGTCACAAGTGACCGTTTTTTAGGGTCACAAGTGACCATGGACCCACATACAGGAACTACATGGAACTATATAATATGCTGTCTATTGTCTTCGTCGGATCTTCGAGGAAATGTTCAGGGATATCAACTGGTCCAAGTGCGCAAGATTGCGAGTATGTTCCGGCTTCGAATTCCAAGATTTGTCTTTAAACAAACTCTGGCTGACCTTTTGAATTTATTATTTGAATTTCATGTTTGCTCCGATACGCTGGTGGGCATAAACAAAGCACACCGTTGCAAATGTCTTGGGTTGGCCATGTGAATCTCACGTTGAAGGTGGTGATGATAGTGATGAAGAAGCGAGAAAGCGAGCTGACAAGCCAAAGCATCGCAGGAAGGAAAATGTGCACATTCTCCCACACAAACCAACCTTTGGATCTATGAGCACGTTGCGATTTCAACTGAATGTTCTTCGGTATGTGCTGGACTTCCAAAGCTTGCAAGAGGAAGCAATCCAGGAGGAGGAGTTGAGACAAGAGGAACGGCAAAGAGAAATCACTGAAGACGGCGAAAATTGCACAGAACTCTTGACGTCAGGAGAAGTTGTCACTTTTGATCCTTACTACTATGATAGCAACTTGGACGATTTGGACGTGTTTCTGGGGTCACTTCAAGATACTTCAAGCACTTCTCCAATGATTTGGGTTCATCTCAGTTCATCTCAGTTCATCTCTTGAAATCCTCGCACTGCAACCTAATTTTGTGTTGAGTGTCGACCCTCACCCTGGTGGCACCACCGGGGCGCACAAAGGACATTAAATTAAAGATCATTAAAGGACGGGGAGTATTACGTTAGATTCATTAGATTCTTTTTATGATTTTATGTTTTCGCAACTTTGCTCATTTGTGTGCAGATTATGCAGGCTCTTAAAGAGTCTCATCATGTCTTATCCTGCTACAGGGTCAGTAGCGTGCACAGGTCATTGTTGAGACAACCAGCTGACCCAACTGCCCTTGCATTGAGGCGTGGAAGAACTCAGCGAAAACAGCGAGGAGAGCAAGAGCAGCTCTGAGACCAGCTCTAGTGAGGAAAGTGAGGACCGACCGGACAGACCTCGTGTCAAAAAATGTGTCAAAATGTGTCAAAGAATGGACAAGATGGACAAGATGGACAAGATGGACACGATATCTGAACAATTCTGACCATGATACTAGAATATACTAGATAATACCAACTTAGAAGACTTTCACCACCATTGTGTATCGTAGTAGAAGTTTCCAAGTTGCCACATAAATGGCACAGACAAATGACGCTGCTAGCTGACCAGCTAGCGGCTGAGCTGGGCCACCTGCTCGCCTTCAGCTTCTGTTGAAATCTCTGAGATGGCGATGGAGGGAGAGAGAGAGAGAGAGAATACCAAAAGTTACATATAGAGAGAGAGGGAAAACGCACAAAAACTGCGATATTTACTGACAACGTATGGACTGCACGGTGCGTACATTTTGCAATGCCATACGAGAGCATGGGCCTGCCCATGCACATTGCTCGCGTTGTTGCCTCCTTGATTCGCGGTTTGGTGTCGGCATCCGCACAACTAGGTGCTTGCAGTTATGCAGCTATCATCAGCTATCGTTTTTAGCCAGTATAACGGCCAAGCGTATGCGAGTCCAAACGCGTGACTTTGTGACGCTAGGTTGATCGTGTTTTCACGAGTCATCACGGTCCGATGCTTGCTTCCTGTTCCAGCTAAGCAGCTAAGGGCCCTCGGCCCATTCCTTTGTCTTAGTTTCCCCTACCAACCACTTATATAAAGACATTCTACCACGACAAAGCTTGCTTGTCATGACAAGCTATTGTTTGGCCTTATCGGCATCGCGATCCTGGAGATGTTACTGACCTCTTCAGACGGCATTTGGTGGCACGTCTGAGCATTTTTTAGCCCTTCACTTTTCGCGACACATACAGTGTCACACAATATCAGAATGCAACACTTCTTAAATCACAACATTCGCATCATTCGCAACTACTACTTTGTAATTTGCAAATCAACCCAAGTGGTGCGTGATATAGGTCTTTGGTCCACTAGTGCTATTTGACACGAGACAGGATCACAGTGGAAGCAGCCAAGATACAACAAAAGAAGTATCGAAGTCACAGACTTTGCGTGGCTTCAAAGGAGGAGGACAGAAACTCAGTCCAAGGAATTGCCACTATCTGCATTTTTCTGCATTTAGAGGCAAAAATCATGGTATAAGTTGTAAAAAGGGAGAGCTCTTCAAATGATTCTTTATGCATTGTTGCTTAGGCAATCTGCGGTTCTAAAATGTTCTGAAAATTTCTGAAACATGATAGGACGAACCAAAAGAATTCTGGCCGCGGGGGCGGCAGTATCATCCTTCTTCTCCATGTTTCGAGGGAGCGAAGAAGCGCAGAGAGCTCGAATGAGGGCCCGTGTGGCCCGCAGATTTCGTGAGCTTGATGAAGACGGTGAAGGTATTCAGCTGGCTGATGTGGCAACTCTTTTGACTGATGTTCTGGGCCTGCAATTGGACAGAGATGCAATGCTACTTGACCCTACTTGATCATACTTTATACTTGACTTACTTGACTTCTTTTTGGGGCTGCAGTTACCACAGTTATCCATAGTTGACCTACTTGGCTGCAGTTCTATTGCTGTTTAGTTGTCGCGGTCCGCAATGGTGTTCAATCGGATGCATGAGTCGCAAAAACAATCTGCAGAGACAGAGGTGGAACTAGCTAGAACATGTTTGACCGTCTAGAATCTAAAACCTCTCCAACGAGCCACTTGCGCGCCTTTTGTCCTTGAAGCATTTCTGGCCGCAAGAGAATGACAGCTCAAGACTCTAAGACCCCGCAAAATATCGAAAAATCAAACTAATAATATTAGTTCCACTTGGTGCGTCTTCAAGTGAGATCAAGTGAGATCAAGTGAGATCAAGTGAGCAGGTCGAGCTGCGGCACTAACGGGCACTAAGGCTCCGGCTGGCCGCAAACGTCTTTGATAATGCGGAGAAGAATGAGCAAGAACTTCTTCAACTGCCGGAAGTGTTGAAATCTCTCGATTCTGTAACCACAGACTTTAATGCTTTGGTGAAAAGGCGGCAGCAGCATAGTTCTGGACAATCGGGCGAGGAGGAAACTTCCTGGACATGTGTACGGCGGTTAGCTGGAATGGTTATCCCGCCGGACTCTCCAGGGTTGAGAGCCTGGGATTTGTTCCGACAGTTGGCGGTTGTTTATTTCATGCTGGAGATCCCTATGCGTTTTGCCTTTATCAACTTCGACCAGTTGCCGCAAAACGATGCAAGAGTTCTGCTGGCTCTCAACTTGTGCATGGATATTTTCATGCTGTTGAGCATGATGTTGACGTTCTTGCGAGGTTATACCAAGAGCTCGGGGGTGACCGTAATTGATTTCCATCAAATCCGTGTTCGGTACATGCTCAGTACATTCAGTTGGGATATCCTGGCATGCTTTCCACTGGATCTCCTTGTGGCTGGCTTCCAGGCCTCTAGAGACTATGCAACATGGAGACTTTTTAAACTGGTGCATTTGAGGCATTTCTGGAGTGACTCGAGCCCATCTCAAGGCAAGGAAGGAGGCTTCTTAGTGACGACTGTTCGGATAATGTTGCAAGTGTACGTGCTTTTGCACTTCACTGCTTGTGGCTTTTGGTACATCAGCAATGGTTGGCCTACAGAGCAGGAGCTGATTGAACAGCAAAATGTGGCCTCTGAAGCCAGCGGATGGTTCCGCCGATATGATGGAATGGGTTTTGCGGCAGGGCTGTTCAACCAGGCATATGTGCCAGTGTTTGAGCAGTACATGATTTGCCTTTGGGCAATGATGTGCCTGCTGACAAATGACAGTCATTATCAGATCAGCTCGACGACTTGGCTGGAGCTTGGCTGGGTGATCGGCAGTTTCGTGGTTTCTATTGCTGTCACAGGTCACATTGATGGCGCCCTTGTTGGGAAGGTCATCTCCCAAGATCAAAGCACAGTGGAAGATCGTGTGATGCGAGCTCGGGTAGACAACTTCATCCAAAATGCAGGGCTGCCTGTTGAACTTGCAGAGCAGATTCGTCTTTCCACTGATGCTGGTCACAGTGTCAGCCGAGGCTCGAAAGCCGAGAAGTCTACGGCCACCGACATACGGACCATGGAGTCAGTTTTGCAGAGTTTGTCTCGCGGGTTGCTGACCCGAGTTGGCCGCCGCGTTTTCCTAAAGTGGCTTCAAGGGGTGCAGCTCTTCAAAGGGTGCTCGGAGCCATTTCTTCTGCAGCTCGCCACCAGATGTCGGCAGATCACGCTATCTGCAGGCTCCTTCATTTGTAGAGTGGGTGAGCCCTCGTCCTTTCTGGTGATTCTTCGCTATGGCTCTGTTCAAATCCGTGACACAAGCAATGAAGAAATCGATCGAGCGGAGGAAAAGGGAACAGCATTCTGCGATATCTCTTGCATGTTTGGCTTGAGACACAAGACGTCAATCATTTGTGAGGAGGAGACGCAGCTTGTCAAGCTACAAGTGGAGGATTTGAATTTTGCGTTGGAACTGTACCCCAAAGACAGGGAGCAGATCAACAACAACGTGCTGGAGATCATGCCAGAGACTGCTGATTTGACAGAACAGGAGAACGACGGGGCAGCCATGGGTGCCATTGCGCCCATCATGGCGAACATCATCGGGACCATGAGCGGGATGGGAGACGACCATGATGATGGGCGCCAGTCTCTCGACAGGCGGAAGCGTAGAGCCATGGGCAAGGTGGACCTGGTTGCAGATTTATCCATCCATGACCTGAATTTGGAAGGCGTTGCTCATGTGCGAAATGTGATCAACAAAATGTTAGAGGAGAAAGCGCAACAACGAGTCAGCGACTTTATTGAGTTTGCGGCAAATGGGAAGTGGGAGAAAATGGAAGCGATGCTGAAAGACCGCGAGGCAGGAGACTCTCGGAGCTCGGAGCCACGATTTACCTGCCACATCCTGCCACTGTGATATCTGTGAATTGTAATGAATTTTGTCATTCTCATTCTATATATATTATATATTCATTAATATTCTACATATATTCTACTATAGTATATTATACCTCTCGTAACTCCCAGTATCCTCTCATGTACTGAAATTACTCGTAGATTACCGGTACTGAGCACAAGTTTCTCGACCACATCGACCTAGGTAGCAAGCGCAAGTTGACAAATCAGCAGTCACTTCATTTTTAACTTTTTTTTAAGCGGGTATTGGGATTAGAGGCCTCGCACACGCATAGTAGGGCGAAGATGTATATGCTAATGTAGACCCACTTTCTTCAAGTTTTCATCTACGTACAGTGGTGCGTGATTGGAGTCTCCTCCGCTTTCACCCGTTTGCACTGGTATAAACTGATGTAATATTGTCGCATACTGTCGCAGCCCGATGTGTTGAGCCTGCAGGTCACGGTAGATTCAAAAAAATGGGATTCCAGGAGTGCGTTGCACGTGGCTGTGTCGGAAGGCCACTTGAATGTGGTAGAGCGGCTTGTAAGTGACTGGTCGGCCACCCTGACGCTCGAAGATAGATTTGGCAACACTCCTTTGGACGATGCCGTGAGAGAACGCCGTGCAGAAGTTGCTGAGTTTCTGGTGGAGGCCAGGGCGGCCAGGGCAGCCAGAGATGTGCTTTTACTTGAACGCACCAAAGAGGCTTGCTTTTTGGACATCTGAACCTGGACCCTGCACCCATGTAGTAAATACTACAGTAGCAAGGGGGGGTTGGGCAACCTTCCAGCCATCTCTAGCCGCTAGCCGGTTGTTCTTCAGCCATTTCTAAGCTGATTCATGCTGCTTCAAACATGTTCAAAACAGGTTGGCCACTTTGCAAAACTTGTCAAATTGTTCATTTCATTCGTTTCATTCATTTCATTCGTTTCATTCGTTTCATTCGTTTCATTCGTTTCATTCGTTTCATTCGTTTCATTGTCCATTTTCCTTTCCCTGCCGTTCCCGCATCTGCCAGGCAAGCGCAGAGTTCAAAGGCGGCGTAGCAGCTGCGGTGCAACTCTGTGAAGCTGCAGCAGAGGGCGACACGTCTCAGCTGGAGCTGCTCGTCGAGGTGCCATACTACGCAATGGCAACAACTCCGGCATGATGACGGCATTCCCCAATTGATATCCCAATTAATTATACAATTGTATCATGAATCAGACATCATCTTACATCCTTAACTCATATCATTTCGGCAATTCTGGCCAGGAAATGAGGTCATTGCTAAGGCTAGCACTGGAGCATTGGGAAAGGTTTACAGGTCCAGAATAGCTGGTCCCGCGATGTCCCGCGCATGGTTGGCATCTTCGAACCTGAAATGACTTTGGCACAAGATGGTACAAGATGGTACAAGTAGGTCCTAAACACTCCAGGGCAAACTTTCAGGAAGCATATAGTATAGATATGTATAGATCATATAGAAGTGTAGGAGGATGTGGTCTGGATTTGTTTGGACCGGGTTTCGCTTCAAGGCCCCAACCCCCGGGTTGCATGTGGCGATGCAGGTGATTGGGGTGGACCCAAACCTTGGTGACTACGATAACAGGACTGCGCTTCACTTGGCTGCTTCCAATGGTCATTTGGAAACCATCACGCGCATGCTGGAGTTCGGATATCTGGATGCTTGGTGGCAAGAGGCGCACAAACACACAGATACAGACACAGACGTATCTGTTTCAACCTGTATACAATATATATAAATCATTACAAATCCCACAAATGTTTAAAATCATGCACGCGCACAAACACACAGAGCCAGGATCTACAGAATGTTGACTGTTTCCAACTTTGCACTCCTAAGTCTAAGCAGCATCTAAAGAATTCATGTCCATTCATGTCCAAGAATTGAGCTGCCAAGGGGCGCATGGTGAGACCACCAAGTAATTCGAGGCATTTCTCGTTTGATCTTCTGAGATGTATAAAAACAGTCTTCAACGATCCCCATCGATCATATCGATCCCCTGTTCAGGATCTCAGTCCACTGGACCGGTTTGGCCAGACTCCTTTGGATGATGCGATTCGCCACGAGCACGTGGCCGTACAAAAGCTGCTTGGCATGAGCTTGAACTTATCGCTTCTGTGGCATGTGGATACATGTAGCCAATTGTAGCCATGTAGCATTCCTAAAAGCATCTAAAAGCAACAGACAGAAACGAAACGAAGCGTGTGACAACACATAACCTTCAACAACACACGAGAGAGAGAGAGAGAGAGAGGGAAAAAGAGAGCCTCAGGGTGCATGGAGCCACTACAGCCGCTTGACAATGTACTGCAGGCTTCTTAAAAGTGAAGGCGCTCAGATGGGCAGTGTCGAATTCGGCGTTGCGCTCTGCGAAGCAGCCGCCAACAATGATACTGCTGCTTGACTGGCCTTGGGGCTTTTAAATGTTTATTGTATACTGTTTTGTCACTATTTCATCATTTTTCAGGGGGGTTGGGCAGAGGCTCTTTGTATCTCTTTGTTCTTTTGGCATTATGCGGTCACGCCTGTCCGCTCGATATCGCTCGATACTGTTACATCTTCAAGATGGATCTTGCAAAGTCAGATCTCAAGTCATCCCAAGTCTTGATATGCAAGGCAGAAACTATGCATGGACAGAGTGCATCCTAGCATATCCTAGCAATAAAATGCAATAAATATGGTATGGATCGGGCATAATTATGTAGAATATTGTGGAATTATGTAGATATAGATCTGGATGGCGATGAGAGAGAGAGAGATCCCAACTGCCCAGGACAAAATCAGGCAGATGATTGAAGCAGGTGTCAGGGCCGGGATGGCCGACTACGACTATAGAACGGCTTTGCATTTGGCTTCCTCCAATGGACATTTGGAGACATGTGTGTTTCTTTTGCGTGAAGGACGTGTAGATCCAAATCCTTTGGATCGATTCCTCAACACACCACTTGATGATGCCATTCGTCATGGACACAAAGATATAGTAGAGCTCCTGATGAAATACAAGGGGAGGCCGTCCGATGACGATGAATACTTGAGCACAGTGAGGGATGACTTTTTGAAGAAAATGGAAGAAGAAAAGGCCCGAAAAGACACAGACAAGCTGGAGAAAGAGCTGAAGACCCATCGTTTATCTGATGTCATGGATCGTTTGTCTCGATTAGCTTCAGACATGGAGGATGACATTCACAACTTCAAGACGGCAGCTTCAAATATTCGATACGCTCTCTGCCGCATTTTGCACATGTCCATGTTCCTACAAGATGATTCAAGCCACAGCCGAGCTGGATATGAAAAGTTAGCCCATGACATGGAGGAAGGCAATCTCACTACCCAAAAGCTGGTCCCTTTGATGGAGCGAGACTTGAAGCAATTGGACAGCAGTGCCTCTCGGATTCTGAAGCACATTGCGGGTGAGCTTCAACCATGTTTGCATGCAGCTACCAACAATTCTCACACCAGAGGCTTGGTGAGGCTGTTGATGCCAAACTTCTCGCAGGATTTATCAAACCTGATTTCAGGTGTTAATCATGTGAAGGCCCTTTTGCCAAGATTAATCTCGCAAATCGTTACTCCAGCAAAAGGGCCTGGCCTGGGATATGATTGCCGCGCCTTTGGCCTGCTCTACCAGAGGCGGGGGCCATGACTCCATGACCTCCACAGTTCATTTCAATTTCGACTGTCCATCCTCCATCTCTGTGTCTCTAGATTAGTACATAATATGAATTAATATGATACGTATATGATCGTATATGTACAATATACAGTATATATAGTATATACGTATATAATTGTGTATATATAAATATGACATGTGACATATGTATAACAATATTTTTAGTACTGTATATAATATATATATATATATATATTCATAAGTAATATAATATATATATATACATATTTTTTATATAGATATAAAACTAATAGATCTGGTACTATTACTGTTTGTGTATTGTATTGCTATATATACCGGTGCCAAGAATTTCCACGTCTGGGCAGTTGCCCACTTCTAAGCAGCCTCGGTCGCAAAAATCCGGTTGGCTCCTGCCAGGTTTTCAAGCCGTCGATGTGCCGATGTGCAGGTGTCGCGTGTTTGGCTTTCCTGAATCCACCACAACGTCGGCTGAAAATTTGTCACATTTCGTCACTGTTATTCACCTTTCTTGTTTTTAAACACAGAGCATGTCCCAGCAGCACGTGAATTCTCAATATCTACATTTTAACGTGTGTTAGATGCGTTTAGATGTTTTTAGTGTGCCAGCGTGAAGATTCTGATGCGCAAACACTTTTGTCATCTTTTGTCATTTGTGCTGTGCCAGGAAATCCTGCAAAGCGCTTTGCAGCTGCTCTGTGTCACATCGTTCGGGAAGCAAGAGGCCGCCTGGCCAAGCAAACCAAGAGCTCGCGCGGCTGCGAAACTGTTCAAGGAGCATGGCACTCTTTGCAGGTCTTTACAGACAAGTTTTGGATAGTTTTGGACATTTGTTGAAACTGTTCGTTTTGGATAGCATAACCAAATGCTGTGCGAAGTTGTGGTTTCCCTGGAGATCAGATGATCATGTCGGTTGAGTCATACTTGTAACATCTTGTAACACTGAGACGTAGACTATAGTGTCTTCTTTGCCGAGGTCATAGATGTCATATATTGCAAGGCGTTCATATTGTTACCAATCCTGACGTCCAGGGATATCATGGGGCTTCATGGGGCCGAAGCACGCAGGAGTCCAACGTGACAAACTCCCTTACGCACAGCATTGAGCGGCCTCCATTCAAGCCACCGGCAGAGTTCCTGAAGCAGACTGCGCTTCAAGATAATGAATCAGTTTGACAGGTCAGGATCTCAAGCACTATGAGATGATCAGCGAAATATCAGGGTGCACTGTTGTGGCCCCACGCTTCATGATGCATGATGTGCTTTCGCATGCTTTTGATTTTGCAGCTTGTGAGCTCACTCAGGCTGAAAAGAAGTGAGTGAGGTCCAAGGCCTTCTTCACTCCTGACGTTGCGTAGAATTTTATTGTAGCAGCGGCTACGCCTGAAAATCCTGCAGACTAGTTTGATTTACAACAGCCATCAAAAACCATCAGCCGAGGTCTAGGCAACTAGAGACTAGCGAAGAGTGTCAGGGTAGCTCGTCAGGATTTTAGTTTTTATGTTTCACCTGCACGACTCCTGTGGTGGCAATGGTGTGGATTGCAGAATCGTGTCTCAGGGAAGTAGCCTGCAATGCCACCATTTTTCGTTCAGACCCCTGTCGATATGTTCGATGTTTTCTCGCCTGCAAAGCTGTTCGCCCCTTATTGATGCCACTGCAGCAGTCTTAATGATCGTCCGAGAATTAGGAGAATTGCAGAGGGTGAAGATAAGCCTCTGTGCAAACATGCCCCTCATGTGCTGCGAAGCAGTAGGATAAATAAACGGATCTTTTCGAACAGGTCACATGTCTAAAAAAGCTTTGTTGAAATGGCTGGAAGTGTGCCATTGCTAGTCTCCGTCAAAAGTCAATCAAGAAATGCGGCTGTCTCACACACACACAGACGCACCATGATGCACCCATCACCGATTCAGGCTGCTGATTGCAGCACAAGCTGATCATTTTTCAAAAGCTAGTGAAGATGATGAGATGCGGCAAGCTTGGGCTGCGGGCAAGGACGTGTGTTTTCATGAAAAACAATAGCTATAATAATTTGATTTAATTTGAGTTATTATATGTGACCCCCGAGTGATTCGCAAAAAAATGTGGCACATGCCAGTTGCTTGCACACAGCACAGAAACTGAACTGAACATGAAGAATTGGGGTCAAAAGAATTGAGGTCAACGTGTACAGCTGCATTGAATTTGAATCCCAGGTCTGAGCTCGAAAAGAGCTTGAAAAAGCGGCAGCTCAGACGCGAAGTGGCGCACTTACAACCTTGACGATCGAGGTAATTTGATGACATTGTAGCACGGTGTTCAGGCAGGAGGTTATACATGTGTATCAGATAATATCAGATATCATTATCATATTATATTATCATACAATTCAGGTGTGGCACCAAAACCTTTCCTTTTCACCCAAGCCCACCGTTTTGGAGCAAAGCTTTCTGGATTGACAACCACGCTATGGGACGTGTGTTGGATGGACATCAGGGTGAGGGAATGGGATACATAGAGATCAAGACCATTTCCAACAGTCGACAACTCATGGACAACCTTGGCTTTGAGGGCTTATTGCATCAATTGAGGATTGTTTGGGATGTTTGGGTAGATTTTCACCTCATCGTAGAGCACTCATGAGCGCTCCATAGCTCTCCCCTTTCTGATATTTGCTGATTGGGGAATCATTGGGGAACCACCTGAACTTACTTAACTTGGTTTCACATGAGGGTTCAGCAACGTCGTGGAGATCATGTGCTCTAGATTTCCCCTCAAAATAAGTCCCACCATGTCCCACCAAGGTAGCTTGTGCCGTCAACCTTCGGGAACGATCTGCCCGTTATGCCAGGGGCTTGAGATCGTCTCCATACCCGAATCTTTAATTGTATAAGTAGATATAAGTAGTGTGATTCGGTATGATTCGGTGGTTTTCCATGCCCTCGTCCCAGGTCTATGGGCGTGATAGTGAAGGATTTGAGGCCCTGATTGGTGACATGTGCAAGTTGCGTTTGTCCATCCATCCACAGATCCATATCACCCACAACCCGCAACGCAGCATGACACAACGCCAAGTTCCATTGCCCGGCGTTTTGAAAGGTTTTGCGATTGGTGTGTTGCAACCCTTCTATGACGCATCGCTACACACGGTAGACATGAGATTACATTATACCCGACACAGAGATGACAGAGATTACACAGAGTAGATATGAATGAACAATGAATACAGTGATCATGGGCTGATACATACCGATCCAATTTTCACCACACCAAGGTTGAGAATGGAATTAGGTGGCCGTTTGTAAACTTTGCGCGCCAGTGTCAGAGGCTCAAATGCGGCAGGAAGCTCGAGAACTTGATGCAAGCTCAGAATGGATTTTGGAATGTGCCGAATGAGTCAAATATGGGGAAAGGGATGGAAAGGGCGTAATGAGGATTTGCAACTGCTTACAAAACATGAGATTTCAAAAGCAGAGGCTCCCCAAGGTTTTATTTGGTTCTGCTGGATGAATCTGTACAAGTGGCATTCAAGTGCCTATATGATATGTACTTACCGAAAAGATCCGAATAGTATTGAAAGGCAGTGAAGCAAGCCTTCAGGGATTTCAGGGTCTTGGAGGTCAAACGAGTCAAACGGTCACAAATCAGGTGCTGCTGTGTTGAAACATGTCGGAAACATGTCTGAAACATGTCTGAGAATCTGAAACATGTTGAGACTTCCAGGTAGTTGTGACTGATTGTTGAATTAGTTGAAGAGTTGGAACATTTTTGTGGCACTCAGAGGCCTCGTCGCAGTTTGGCCCAGAGCTGCTGCAGGCTCTCGGAGAGCAGCGAGCTCAGACGGCCTCCGGATGGCTCCAGATGAATCCGGATTTCATCCGGATGGGTCAAATGAGGCGATTGAGATTGGTGGAGATTGGTGGAGAATGTTGAGATTTGCGAAAGGTGAAAGAAACACGGGGCACACCTTAAAGATTGTAAAAATGTCACATTCTTTGGCACACTTGGTCCAATTTTAATCCATCACGTTCCACCAAGGATGTACCTAGCGCGCTCTGAGACATTGCCTTAGCACAGCGAATTCGTGCATCATTCAATCTCTACGGGTGTCTAACCATTACCAAGACTTGACATCAGAATCAATCAGAATCATATTAATATAGAAATATATAGAATATTATAGAATCATCAGATCCTGCAGAAGTCATCAAAAGTCCTCATCCTCCCAGCGGACTCTAGCCGACTCTAGCCGACTCCAGCCATCAGCTCCAGCTTGTTGTGGGACCAGGGCGTCGCTGTGCTCCAGTGAGGATCTACTTGGCCAACGAGATGCATGGCCGGATCTCATTGACCAAGTCCCGAGCATCAATGAAGCACAATAGCCGGGCTCCTTGTCGAATGTTGTTGCATTGCAAGTTATCCAATATAAAGTCAAATGCAGCCCGTGTTTTTGCCACAGCCACACCAGGGATCTCTTTGTTTCCGGATGCGGGCTTTGTCACAGGTCTGGTTCTAAAGCACCGCCTTCGCTTTTACAAGTCCAGCTCTCAGTATCAAGAGTAGAGCAGCTGCATCCACCAATCTGAGTTTCCATAATCTCTAGAATCTAGAATAAATGATGCCAGATTCCCAGATTGAACATTCTACTTCTACAGCTTCATCAGATTCTTATCCGTTCCTCTTTTTTTCCAGTTTCTTTGATTAATGTCAGCCAAGAAAGGCCAAGAGGCTTCAGGTCTTTCAGCTTCTGGGGGCCTTTCAGTGCTCCTGCCACAGCTGATCAGAATGACATCCACACACATCATTGTTGTATCTTGTTATATCATCAAATCATATATCATTGATATCGATATCATTGATATATATCCACATCGTATTACCTTCAAAGAACCGCCCATACTTTTCCACGCTATGTCCGTAATATTTCCACCATTTCCCACCTGCAGTTCCATATAGTTCCATGTTTTCTTACAGCAACTTGCTGTTCACACTTCAGGAACGCTGCTGGAAGCCTCATCAAAGCCGGCAAGGTGCTTTGCCGTCCAAGACACATTTGTTCCTGTGGGTTTCACCTTCGGAATGTTCTGACTAGTTCTGACACATTTATGAACAGCACACTGCACACCTCCTTGCTTTTCAATACAACTATAACGAAATATAATGAGAATGATGAGAGCAAATGGAAGACACTTTCCGGTTTCGAGCCAATCCGGAAGTGCGGTGCATCGCCGTGCCAGGTGTACAGTGCTGCGACAAAGGTTTCCAAGGAATTGAAGGAAGAGCAACCTGAATCTCAATCAGGCAAGGGCAATCAGGCAATGTCAACAATATCGGCAGTGTCCCAGCACCGTTTCAACTGACAGAAATGATGTAACAGAAATGATTCCGCAATGATGCCTGAGTACACCATGACCTACCAGGTGAGCCTCCTGTGACAGAGGAGCAAGCACAGCAGGCCGTCACAGTCCCCATTGGGGCATCATGCTCAGCCAATGTCAGCCAATCGAGACTGCATATGCGTATGAAATGTGCATGTGATATGATGATATAAAGGAATATAATGATATAACAATATCCTTGTTGCAATTTCCTCTGCAGAATCGAGGGGGCTGGCACCCCAAAAATCTTCGATTCTGGAGAGCCCTCCTGCACCCCTACTTTGCTACAAAATCAAAGACCATGGGCTGGTAAGCACCCAAAAATCATCAATTTTGGACATATTTGGACTATATCTTAGTAGGTCCATGATTCTGTAGACAGGGGCCCCAACAGCCAGCCGGGAGTGCACAAAACCTTACTTTTTGGGCATGCAACTGATTTTGTAGAGATAAGGCTTGTGACAACCTAAGGTCTTTGATTTTCTAGTAAAGCATGCCCCTTAATGTCATATCTTCAGATCTTGATTCTGTAGTGGTTTTGAGATAGTAAGAGGGAATGAATTTGACTCTGTAAAGGATAGTTCCCCTGAAACCCTTTTTGCCCAACATGTATGGGTTTTTGATTTTGTAGAGATAAGTCCGATGTAGTAATATCATTTCCATAAGACCATTTTTCTTTGGATCTATCAGGTCTTGATTCTGTAGTGGTGAGAGATGATGAGAGGGAAGAATCTTGATTCTATATGATGCTATATGATTCTATATGATTCTATAATATGCAACTAATTTTGGATTCCTATTTAAAGAAAACATGCTACAAAATCAAAGACCAGTCATTTTGGACACCTTTAACTGACTTGTAAAATCTTGTAAAGGAACTCATGCTACAAAATCAAAGACAGGCATTTGGGACTTTGGATGGGACTTGTAACTTGTAAGTGCATTCATGCTACAAAATCAAAGACAGGCACTTTGGGACTTTGGATCGGACTTGTAAAACTTGTAAAAATTCATGCTACAAAATCAAAGACAGGCACTTTGGACTTTTGATGGGACTTGTAAAACTTGTAAAAATCATGCTACAAAATCAAAGACAAACAATACAAAAAATCTCTACAGAATCGACTCTAACCAAAATCTCTACAGAATCAGCCTGAAGGTTTTTACTAAAAAAAATCCAACATATGTTTACTTGATACTTTCTCATGTGAGGTTATTGATTTTGTAGAAAAGATGAATTTGCCTTGTCAGATTTTTTTATTTTTGTGGAAGGTTCTTGATTTTGTAGAAGCTAACATCCTAGTCTGGAGAGCAGAGATTGATTTAGTGAAAAAAAATGGTACCTGACCTAGGGGCCCTCTACTGGATCGAGGGGTCCAGCACCTCCCCCCTAATTGCAAGGGGGATATAATAATATAAAAATATAATTCAATATAATATGATATAATATGATTTGATATAATATAGTATGATATAATATAATATGATATAATATATAATTTAATTTAATATAATATAATATATATATGCTATCCATGCCCTATTGCATATAATAGGCGTTTAATGGAGTTCAATGGCCTTTAGTATTGTGAATTGTGAAGCGGGTTCCTGGGCCAGTTCCACAGAGCATCAATTTGATTGTGTCATTCTGTATGAACATGAATAAAGACATGTGAGCTTGCGCAGCCGAGGAAGAGACGACAGGAAAAGCATGCAATTTGCAATAAAGTGCTTCTTGCCCCGAAACCACTGCACATGTTTTTCATGTCTTTCCTCTTGGCGTCTCTTCAGGTGAAACTTCAACTAGGATTTAGGAACCTAATCTTTTCCAAATTGTATTGTACAGTAGTTTTCCTGTTGGAGTTGGCATCATCGACCATACCCAGGCTCCAGTCCTTGCCAATCCGTGAAATGGTCGATGCAGGTTGAAGCTGCGATGGATGATGCTCTGCCACTCTTCCTTCAGACTGCTTGGTCCTACGTGGTCCAAGATATCGACCGGACAGTTCAAAATGGCTCGTTTTAATTCATTTGACACCTCCCCAAGAGGTAACCCTTCAGTTTTTGAGCCTGTCAAGATTTTGATTCAATATTTGTAGATTTCCATGTTTGGGGCCAACTAGCAGCTGCATTCGCTTTGTTACCATTCCATACCATTCCCACTTCACAAAGCCCAAAATGTCAAAAGATGCAGTGAATGGCCTTCGTACATCGTCATGGCGGCCCACAGTGCCACAGCGCCAAGAGCTTCAAAGCCAAACACTTTCAGTGCCAACCCTTTTTGGCTGCCTTATCCTTAGACTGCAGAATGTCTCTTTGCGGCGGCTTTAGGGTATGCGCAGCAGGGGTTGTGATTTATGATACAGTAGGATTGCAGAAGGTCTGCACGGGAGGCGCATCGTGCAGTCAGTCCAGACTACTGTGCATGCACCACTACATATCTCTTGCCCGAAAGTCACCGTGTGGCTATATGTGCCTTGGTAATTTTTGAGCTGATTTCCGTTTCTGCTCGCAACATTCTTTTGGTTTGACTGTTTCAACATGTGTGGCGTATTGATGTCTCGGGTGTCTTCGGCAAATTTCATGTCCAGACGCATGCACGCACCGACATCAGGACATGCACTTTTGTACTTTTGCGATCTTTTACGTGCGCGCACGCGCACATTCAATCGGATTTCTGCACCAATCGTTGCCCAATACAAAATCCGCGACGTCTTGCCAGGTCAGAGATGTTGGTCGGAAGTTCCTTCAAGACAAATCTGTGCTTGGCACCTGGTTTGTGCGTGTTTGATCTGTTTGTTCTAGCTGGCAGGGTTTTTTTAAGCAGTGGACTTCATGTCGTTGTAGGCCGTGGCAGATTCGGATCCGGAGAGCGCAGGCCTTGCAGCTTTTGGGTCTGGATCTTGAAGCAGAAAAGTTGGACCGTGGAATTATGATGGATTATGTTTTTGACAAGCTATGACTTACGATCTCTCCAAAGCCAATTGTTGTAGACGCCGAGGCGAAATTTTCCAAACAGAGGCTGCTGCTGCAAAATCTGCAGGACAAGAGCCAGGCAGCGTGGATGTGGCAGTGGGGCATAGCAATGGCTCTGACCTGTTAGATTTGACGGATGTGTGCCCATGTGTAATTGGCGATTTTTTAGTGACAGAGTTGAGCTGACTTTGCACACGTGCTGTGAGTGTTTGTTCCAGGCACAGCCGATGGCACAGCAAAGGCTGTGCTCCAAGAGGCCAGGGCATGATGCTTCCCCTTGAATGCATGGTGACACAAAAAAAAACATAAAATACGTCATATGTGTTCGTACATTCATATATATTGCATAAACACACCATATATATCCGTATATTGCATAAACACACCGCAGCACATATTTGTTTGAATTCTACTCGTCATCTCTCATTCGATCAACGTGCCCCAGGCTATGCTTGGAGCAATGAGCTTTGACCCCAGTGCGATCCAAGAAATTGTTTTAACTTGTTCAAGGATCTTTGAAGGTTTGGACTAGTTTGGACTAGTTTGGACTGGGGGTTGTTCTCCTTTTTGAGCCTCTATGCTTTCCAGCTACGGCCTTGATATGTCTTGATCTTGAATGCAACTTCGAGTGGGCGTAGATCAGATACGCCGAGGATGAGACCAGCCCTTTCCGGCACTGCGTGGCTTAACAGGCCAGGTGTTTCTTCCTGACTTGTGCCAACAAAAACAAAGTGGTTGCCACGTGTGCCCCTATTTCCCTCGTTTCCAGGCATTATGCGCCACTTCTGAGGCGTTTTTTGATTATCTCCTTGAGTCTTTGAAGATTCTCAAGTTACCTTTTGCGGCGATTGCACAGCCAATGCGCAGCCAGCTCAATCTTTGGCCACATTGGGTACGAAACTTTGTACAGGAGCCAAGGCCCAGGCTGCATAGAGCGAAAGCACAGAACTGATGTAGAATGCGGAAAAAGTATAGAGTGGTGCGAGAGCCAGTGTATATATCGGTGTAATGTATATAATATATATATATGTATATATATATATTTATATTAGAACTGCTTACAGCACTGGGTCGTTTGTGATGCTATGCTAGCTAGGAGCTTTGTGGTGGAAGCTTCTTGCATTAGTAATAGTGTTCTTTCCCTGTCACGCTGCTGGATTGGGCCCAAGGCCACCAAAAGATGTGTTTTTGCTTCCCGGTTTCACGGTCACATTTGCGACTGGAAAGAATTCTCGGCCTAGCACGTCATTTGAGAATATTCAAGAATGAGAGAGTTCCGCAAATATTCTATTCATTCTAGCTCCATGTTGCCCAAGCTGAGAAAATCTTGGCATACACTGAAATCATCGTACTCTGGAGCTGGAATTTGGTCCTGGTTTACCTGGTCTTTGCAGATTCTTGTGAAGAACTCTCGGAGAGGGCGGTGGAGAGAGAGAGAGAGAGAGACCATTTGAGCGTAAATTTTTGGGGATATATCACGATGACACTGGCATGAAAACCGGATTTAGATGGATTTGGATGGATTTGGCATGACATGGGCTTTTGTGCACAGTTTCTTCTCTTACAAGTGTTTGCGCTCTGGAACTAGGAAACAATGTTCTGGAAATGGTAAACGTTATTTCGTGACCTTGGATCCGAGAAATAAGGCAAACAGGCCACGGACGTAGTAGCATTGAGCTATATTGAGCTTTTGGATGCTCAAGCAGTATCCTGACCATGGCGTGAACAGCTGTTCTTTTGCGTGCGCTGCGGCGAGCGGTCCGTGTCACAGTGCCAAAGATGCCAAGGAGATGGAAGTATGTCCTCCAGCTGCACCTCTTGTGGTAATATGTCGCAGCATGTTGTCTCCCGTGGTCTCTCCAATTCTTGTTCCTATGTTGTTGTTGGAATATGCGGTCACATCCGGTCACTAATTAAATCCAGTTCAAAGGAATTGGTGCCACTCGCATAAAACTGTGAAATTAAAGCACAATTGTCTTAGGCTTAGGCTGGCTATCTCAGAGACCTCCTTCTGTTGATAATGTGTGTTCAAGCTTTGTGGCATTGTTTGGAATGAGATGCCAGCGAAAACATTGAAGATCCCCTGCTTGATTGATCTGAATCCTATTAAACCTGCAGCAAGCGCGTATCATCGTTTTTGCTTTGCTTTCAGCAAGTCCAGCAGTCCAGCATTGGATGTTCATTGAATTGGATGAATCTTCATGTTGGAATAAAATGTTATGCACTCAAGACGGCTCTTTGAATATGTTTGAATCTGTGTGGTTCAAGCCGGCCACGATACCCAAGGCCACAAAGGAAGGAGATGTGGAAGATGCGGCACCGGTACCTGCAAGTACAGACAACCCAACATTCGATGGGTTCTGGGATGCTCGGCGCAGACCGGTTGAATTCCTACAGAGCTTCGCTTGATAGCAATTCTTGCTTCCAAGATTCCAGTGACATTTTGACTTGCCCGTATATCAAGCATCCAAAAATATCCGTTTGCATCGTTTGCTTTGGTTTTAGATTGCCCGTATTTCCGAGGTTTTGGTGATGTTTCCCAGTGTTACCCTTTCATAAGTGCAGTCACATTGCCACAGGTTTGCCCTGGTGGGATTCATGATCGTTCAGGTCTTGCACATTCTTTATACCGGTATAGAATGGTATAGATAATGAATGATAATGATAAATACCAATAGTACCGCACAAGGCGGTGGCGGAAGTTTCAAACATAGGAAACCTATAGGAGCGGTTGGTTGTTGTGAATCACGGATGGCAGAGCGAATTCACTGATGGACCGAAAGATGGTTGGAATGTCGAATTATCCATTTGTCTATCTATCTATCCATCCATCCATCTATCTATCCTTCTTTTCTGTCGAGTCTACTGATCTATCTGTCTGTCAACCTATCCATCTCTCTGTCTTTCCATCCATCTGCTTACCTCTCTATCTGTCTATGCAGCCGTCCATCCATCATCCTATTTCTGTCTATGTGTCCATCTGTCTATCTTTCTCTCTACTTCTCTCTTTCGAGATCTGTCCGTTTCCTTGTCTCTCTATCTGTCTGTCGTCTTGTGGTCCATCCATCATCCCTGTTTTCATAATCATGAAGTTTTGAAAGACGTTAGTAAGGAATACGATAGTAACACAGGATCGAATTACATGAGTCAGGGTACCGCTATATTTCGAAACATCTTGTGGCAACCAGAAAGGTAGACAGACAAAAAAGTTGCAATACAAACTTCCCCCGTTCAGTTTAACGTGTCCCTCAGCATCCTCTGGGTTTTTTGACAGCGAGGAAGCAACGTCGAGCAGCAACGCTGCACAAGGTTTCCTGCGGTAAGAATAGACACACGAGACACCAAACGGCTTTGCAACCCGCCGGTCAGAAAAGGCACCGTGGAGAGGCAACAACAATGAAACCATGAATGCAATGCACGGTAATCACCTTGCACAGAAATCACCTGGCTACCGATGACACAAGCTTTTGGCGGTCAGAAAAGACACACCACAGGCCAATCTCACATGAACCGGGCAGAAAAGAGACTGCTTATGCCTGGTATAGCCAGTCGCCACTGACATGCGCGACGGAAAGGTGGCTGAAAAGCATTTTGCCCTCCACTGGTCAGAAAAGACACGGTAAAAAGGCTACTCGGAGGGAAGCACGAGAGCAAGGCAGCCTACGACATCGTCAGTCGGACCGGTGTTGGGTTGCAGAAAATTTTAGCGGTCAGAAACAGCACACACCAGGCTAATGAACCGGTCAGAAAAGACACAATCGGCTGCTTTCACCTACGGCCGGGGTGCTCAGACCCTCTTCCTTGCTTCTGCCTCTGCACTCACAAAATTCCACCAAATAACAAACAGAAGACATACAACCAACAGCAACATCCACACCTACATTACAATATATTACAATCATGTTGACTGACATGTCTGTCCACCGTAGATCACCGGTTACATCAACAATTCCAAAACATAGGCTCCCCATACTTCTGCTTGCAAATTCCCGTGACATGTGGAAATGTAATTGAGACACCGTCAAAAACGAAGCAAATGTGCTACACCTTCTAAATTGCTAAACTTTCTATGAGATTTCCTCACAGTTTTAAGTTGACAACGTCAAAACGCAGCAATTCTGCGAGACTTCCTCAAGGTTTGAACGTGGCAGCGTCAAAAGCAAAGCAGTTCTGCGAGACTTCCTCAAGTTTTGAACATGGCAACGTCAAAAACAAAAGATTTCTGCGAGACTTCCTTCAAACATGGAAAGTTGAGTGCAGAGCTGACAGCCGTGTACCAATGCGTTTTGCGATTTGTCCGGTCTATGTGTGTAAAGTGCTGCGCCTGCCACGAAAGAGTGATGCCAGGTCATACGAAGTGCTGCACTTGTCACGCAAAATCATCTTAGCAAACCTACAGATCTGATGCTCCAAAATGCAACCCCTCTCAAGAAATCAGCGCCCTAGCCTCCTAACATCTCTGATGAACATGTCTCTTGTACTGCGCCTGCCACGCGTAATGCATCTTTGCAGATCCTCTGCAAATCTCCCACGCCTGCCATCCTTTTTGGACATGCTACAAAACCCCCACGTTTTGCTCACCGTTGGCAAGGTGCAGAATCCCTTGCGCCTGCCACGCAAAACCACATCTGAACCTTCAAAATGGTGGTTTTGCAATTTTGACTTTGAAATGTGCTTCGTGCCACAACGGCATGCACTTTTTCGACATCTCAACTTCCAAAAGTGGACATCTCAACTTCCAAAAGTGGTTTGAACGTGGTGTGTTTTGTCATTCAATTTGTTTTTGTTGCTCATTTTTTCTCCGTTGCTTTATTTTTATTATGTTTTTCTTTGTTCGTCCGCTTTTTTAAATTTATTTTTATGTTTGCTTATTTTTCCGTTTTTTATAATGATTTTTCTTCTTTTTTAAATATGTTCTTCATATCCTTATTTCAGGCAAAATTTTCTTATTTCAGGCAAAATATTCTTGTTTCGGGCAACTCTTTTTTATTTCAAGCAAAATTTTCTTATATCAGGCAAAATTTTCGTATTTTGGGCAAATTTTCTTCTTTCATTCTAAATTTTCTTTTTCCGGGCAAAATTTTCTTATGTCAGGCAAAATGTTCTTATTTCAGGGCGAAATACCTTATTTCAGGCAAAAATACCTTAACGTCAACCCTAGGGTTGTATTTAAGGATGCTGTAACGACTTTGGCCTATGCTTTTGGCACCAAAGTATGAAAAATATTGGTTTTGGAGTGGATTTTGTATGCCAAATTTCTTTTTTTGGCATAGTACTTGTGATATTATTGTGTGTTTTTGGACGTTTCGTCTACAATTCATTCTGCCAAAGTCATTACAACATCCTTAAGCACGACCCGAGGGTTGGCTTTAAGGGATTTTCACCCGAAATTAGTTTTCATTTTTTAATTTTCTATTTGTTTTTATGTTTTTTTAATTTATTGATTTGATTAAGTGTTTTCTATTTTTTCTATTGTCTTGACTATTTTTTATTTTTCTTTATTTTTTGGAATTTGCCATGATGTTCTTTTAAAAGATGTTTCGTTTTTTAATTTAAAAAATGTTTCTCATGTTTTTTAGTTTTTTCATTTTTTATGTGATTGTATTTTTTGTATAATTATATTTTCCTTATTTCCGCGGAAATTCCTTAAATGTAAGGGTTGGCCTTGAATTTAAGGAATTTCGACTTTTCCCACAATTATTTTGCAGCAAAAAACTTAAATTCAATGTTTTTTTGAAATTCTTCGTGCAAAAATCAAAACGCACAAGGATTTTCTAAAACATCGAATTTCAGCTTTACCCTGGAAAATAATCATGGGAAAAGTCGAATTTCCTTAAATTCAAGGCCAGCCCTTGAATTTAATTTGTGCGGAAATAAAGAAACTATAATCAACAATAATAGTAATCATTAAAATGACAAATGGAAACAATAGAAGAAAATACAATGAAAAATAAAGCAAAACAAACCAAAAAAAAGGAAATAAATCAAAAAATAAATAAACTAAATTAAAAAAAATACATAGAAAAATTGAAGAATTAAAAGAAAGGACAGCGCATGACAACGCAATACATATTTGTATTGTTTGTTTTTAAACTGCTTTGAGATTGATGGAACCCATGCTTTCTGGGCGACGATCCAAATGCTCAAAAATGGCGCCTGCGGTGGGCCTTTGTTAAAGATTCATAGTTGTTTTTGCAGCCAGCAAGGCCCAGGCTTCTGGCGGCAAAAAAAAGAAAGTAAAAATACATTGAAAAAATAACACTAAAAAAAATGCGAAAATAAGATGCACTCTGGGCCGTGTCTCGAAATTAATTGCGCAACCCTTTCTCAGCCAAGAATCCCCCACATTTGATTTGATGCATTTTGCATACTGCATGCACCTTATTTCCGGGGCAAACTTAAATACAACCCTGCCACCTTCCACAACTAGATTTTTCACAGCTGTTCAATGTTAATTCAATGAACCAATACTTGAATTATTTTGTGGGGATAAAGTCGTTGAAGTTGATGGCTTGTTTTTGTATGATCGACTTGGCTTCTGACATTTTTGCGCTGTGGAACACCCTGCACATGCAAGGGATTTATGGGACTTTAACTGGATGACAATCAACACATGAGAGACACGCCTGGAGGAAAAAAATGCAAGTTGAGAGACATTGTGTTACTGAACATGCGAACATATATCGAATGTAAATCAATACAACGATCAGACCATAAGTTCTACATGGGCAAGCTGGCCAGTATTGCCCACTGGTGTTAGTTGTGATCTCTAACTGGTGTTCAACCTCGTTATCAATGTCATTGTAGCCCCCATAAGCTATTTTAAATTTTAAATGATTGTCAATATTGCCTAGCCTTATGCACACCCCCCAACCTTAAATACAAGCACCCCCCATGAATTACGAAAGTTGACATTCGCGCCACAACGGCGTGCAACTTTTCATCTCCCATCTGACCACATGGCTCCGCACCCGCCGCTTTAGCGAGCCTGCTTTTCGACCCTCTGGAGCCACAAATCATTGGAAAAACATGGAGAAACACAATGTTTCGCGACTTTCCTACCTTTTCGCGCACCTGCATCTTCTTTCTTCTGATTCTTCTGACTCTTTCTCTTTCGCTGGCTCTTCCCACCTCTGCTTTTCCATTTGTCCATATTGTCGGAAGTTTGGCTTCGAAACTTCCTTCGATGATAAATATGGACTTAGATGTCTACACATTTGAACAGAATCTTTCGGCTGTGGCGATTTGCCTTCGATGATAATGGCAAACAAAAAGAATCAAAGCAAGGTTGTGCCAGGTCCATGCTTACAGGTTTGAAATAGAGAGAGAAAGAGAGAGAGGGAGACTCTGATTCACAGTTGCCCGTGCCGTGTCGTACAGTGGCAGATGCCACGCAAATCTGTCTTGCTGCTACCTATCAGCACGAGGAAGCGACCATGGCTGATGGAGACAGCACTGTAGTCATCTTATCAGGCTTGGTGAAAATGTAATGTGTTAAAATGATTCCCTTTGAGTGTTTCCGTGCTTGCTGCAGGCAAAAATGTTTGGCATGATGGCTCCCAATTTGCTAGCCTCAAAGTTCTGAACCAGCAGACGTGTGCTCTGATTATGGCTGACGACGATGTCAGAGGCTACTTGAGTGCAGATGGCCAAGAGATTGAATGGGAGGATGGAGACTGCTGGAAGAGGGCCAAGATGGAACAACATAAAGGTCAACAGTCATTTGCCACACCAACCCGCACGTCTCCACACAAATCTCAAATTGAACCAGCCAACAATGCTTGGGTCAAAAAACACAATGCAGACGAAGAGGCTGTGCTGGAAGCCCTTGTCCAGCGTGATGCAGGATCTCTGCAAGAAATTTTGGAATTGGGGTGCCCTGCCGACATATTTGTGGAATCAGAGCCTCTGTGGCGAGAAATGGGGTGGACACCAGAAGGCGATTGCCAACAAATGCCTCTTCCATTGCTGGTGGCAGCGATACTCCTCCAATGGCCAGAGGCAGGATTTGTCTAGCTGCGTTTGAATCACAACAAAGAAACAGCAGATTGCTCCACTGGCAGGGTGTCAGAATATGCATCGAGAAGAAAGCAAACGTGAATGCAACCTACGTGCCAGCCCCAGTTTTGTGGAGGGGAATGGCAGGGATGCTGTGGTTTGGGGTCCATATAGCAATAGCCATCCTGCCTGGTTCATATGGAACCGAAACATGCAGGCAGGACCTTTTCCGCGCTCAGATGGCGGGACTGTGCAAGAGAAGTGCCGTTCTCGGGTGGCTTTGTTGTTGAACCTACTTGTTTATCTCGTTTGATTTGTTTGTGCTGTAGAGATACAAGGAGGTAATGACATGTTATGACATGATAATGAACTTCCAAGGTCAGGTGCTCCGATACTCCGAGAGATTGCCTCAGTACCAAACGATCATGAGTGGTACACCTGGGCTGGCTGCGAATGATAAAAAATGACAAGGTCGCGCTATCAGCCAAAGGGCCAGCGCAATGCATTATTTGCATGAAGCCCAGTCTCCCAGCCTTCTCTCAGAGCCTGGGTTCAAAGATATTCAAAGATTTCAAAGCGTGTGCTGTGCTGCATTCCAACGCTCCCAAACTCGTGTTTGGCGGAGGTCAGCACATATTGTCCGCAAAGGTTCGTGGCAGGAAAAGATGTCGTTGTTTTTTCTTCCCAAGCAGTGCTCTTTTTGTCGATATCACCGGCTGCTTGCGTCAAACTTGTCATCATGTCCAATGTTTGTTTGTTCTGTTGCGGCGACATGCGGTGGTGATGCAAAATCTGCTGCTCCAGCGATGCACACGAACAAACATATGCTTTGTGAGCATGAAAGCATCAGGACCTTCCAGTCTGTCCGCAGAAAAGCGAAGGCAGGATCGAGCTCACACTAAAACATACTAAAACCTCAATACGGGAGCTTGCAAATGCTTGCCGTGTTGCCGAGATGTTGAAGTCTTGGCGTGCCTTGCTGCATTGTTTGCTGCAGGATGAGATGGACTTCGTGACTTTGGGCCTGTTCGACAACTTTAAGGGACCTTTTGCCGAAAGCTAGTGTGAAAAGACTTCAGCGCGGACGAAAGCCACGAGAGCATTTGTTTGTCCCCTGCCCTGTCATAGCATGCCGCAGCTTGGCCAACGATTGCGTTTGCCTACGTCGTTTTGCTAGCTACCTACCACGTTCCCACAGTGCTTCATACACTTGGCTCAAGTCACCAAGGGAGAAATGATCACAGCATTTGATTCTCCATTTTGGAGTCATATTAAAGACATCATGTCGAATGTAGTCAAGTGGTGCAAATCCCACCACGCTCCGCCAAACATGTCTCGACTTCAGATTCTGGAGATTCTGGAGTCATCCAACATCATGCCCTGCGCATGGAGTGTCAGACTTTAATAGATGTTATTCAATCACCCTTTTGTTGGCATCAACAGAGCTGGAAACAACATGAAGCGACTTGTGGTCAAACCTGTCTCACAGAGCAGACTACCCGCTGTACCAGTTCCACTGTGGACGTATTTTCCGGAAATTTGGAAGCTCAACTGCTTCGAAAAAGAGGTACTTGGGGTGCTGTAGTGCTTTTGCCTTCTTTTGCGTCGTACAGGGCACAGGTGTCCATGGAATGTTCAAGCCTGCATGTTGCGGTGAAGAGCACAGGTGTACAAGATAGACACAAGATTGAAACACGCTAGGCATTGCTTGCTTTTCGCACCCGGAGTTCCGAAGGTATCAGTCAGCACCAACCCTACATGTTCAAGGCGCTAGAGGAACGAATCGAGGAAAGGGATAGCTGCGATTCAATGTCTGTTTTCCTGCGGCTTAGGGTGCTCACTTTGTGCCACATTGCCACTTACACCGTGGCATCAATGCTCTTGTTTGCAAGTTGTTTTTTTGGCGTATGTTCTCTCACAGATTGTCCGGACATGTGCAGGAAGAAATCGTCTCCGGGAGTGTGTCCGATGTTTTCTTCGGGGTCGGTCCCGATGAGGTGCACGCCACAGTTTTGTCAACCAGTTGGTAGCAACCAATGTAAATCATGTTTAAATCATTGATGATTTCAGGATAATCATTTGTAGCCCCACATTTATTTTCCAAGACGCGCTGATCTCCTAACACGAAGACTTGAACTTCTGAAATGGCAGTAAGGAGACTCACCTCTTCAGCTCAAGGCCGGACAGAGTTTGTGAAAAGTATATTAAAAGACGTTAAAAGTATGCTCAAGGATGCCGAAGGTTTGAGTCGCTCCAGCTCTGAAGCTGCGCATAACGCCCTGCCTTGCCTGTTGCGCTAGGGCGAACCTGGCGATGGCCAGCCCAGTTTTCCACGCGATGTTCTTTGGCCCACAGTGGCACAAAGAGGACTGAGCATTTCATCGCCGCGCAGCCATTTGGAAGCCTTGATTGTGCTCTCACAATCCGTGTTCAGGGTAATTGCTTGAAACCTTCCTCCAGCTTGCGCCGTCCTCTGCTGATCCATGGCAAGACAACCAAGCGAAAACACTTCGCAGTATATATACTGTACAATACAAGTCGGTTGTCCCTCTTTGCCCGATTCTTGCTTCAGACTTGTGGTACGTCCCAACGTTGCACACAGTCCGTTCTGCACCGTCAAACGTCTTGTTGCACCAAAGAGTCAAAGAGGCTTTTCCCGTGGCATGGGGAGCACCTGCATCACGTCATGTAGTTCAACTAACTAGTGGCCAAGACAGTTCTTGAATACATGCTGCCGCTGTCCTGTCATTTTATGTATTCAACTGATTTCAACTGATCCAACTGATTCTGATCTGGCAGGCAGGACGTCAAACCCCAAGGAAACAGTTGGGATCTTGGCCTTTTTGTTCATGGCATTTGATGGCAGCCGCAAGGCGGTGCCACGTTGATTTTGATATACTTTGACTTATATATGTTGATCATTTTTTCTGTTTGAAGTCGAGGCGATGGGACCATGTTGGCAGCTCAACTGCCAACTTCTGTCTCTTGCATCTATTGTCTCTTCAGCGCAGATGTGGTGTGATGTAATGTGGCGGCGAAGGAAAGGTAGAGATCTGTTTGTGAAATCAACCAGGATGGCAACCAAACTTCGTCAGCGCCAAGCTCCCCCAAGAGTCGGGTGCTTTCGGGTTCTGCATGCTGGAAAATGCTGGAAATGCTGGACGTAGCCATGCCACTGGCCCCGCGGTCCAGCCACTTTACCCATCTCGATGAAGCCGCCCCCAGAGGAATAAATTGACGAAACATGGGTAAACTGTCATCCTCATTGTCCTTCTAAGGTCGTGCGGCTGCTCCGACCGACCCTTGGGACAAATGCAGTTTGACACTTACAACGCCCATCACCACTTGCGGATACTTACAGTACAATTCAATATGTACAATTGCAGTAGATTTCACCTTCTGGAAATCACAGGCGCGTTTCTACAGTATCTCTTACCTGCTTTTGCAGTCCTTGTGTAAATTGTACACGTTAGAAGGTCCACGCACCTACGTCACGGAACAACTGCAGTAGCTTGGCACGGCAATATCAACAGATGCGCCGAATTGTCAGTGACAGGAATGGAAGGGAACCAAGGTTCCGGCCTGGGCAGCACCACTATGTTGCAGTTCCAGACATCGAGCCAAGTGCGTCTCGAACTTAAGCTGCCGTAATTGTGAGTGGATTGACGAAGCCAGCAAGCCATCCGAAAGCCCACATGGCCTCCTTTTTTAAATCCTGGTGCCAAGCTGATGTTTTTCAACATTTCTCCAAGAGGTGAAGGGGCCTTAGATGCATTTGAACATATTCGAGATCCGAACCCCACAGAAGCTCGGTGCACCTTGTAAACCTGAACCTGAACCACATGAACCTGAACTATTGCTGTGAAAGCATGTGAAAGCAACTCCAGTACCGCTCTGGGCTTTGAACATAGATGATAATGTGTGTTATAAGTAAAATGTGTTATGTTAAATGATGTTGTATGTATATATAATTGTGAATATATAATATACATCTATATTTAAATATACTTAAATAGAATTTATACATTTATTACATATGTATAAATAAATATTTGTATATATATGTGTGTGTGTGCGTGTGTTTGTGTGTGCAATCTATGCGACATACACACACACCACAATAACTCCAACACAGACACACACACACACACTGGACTGGTTATAAGAATTGGAGCTGGTTCCAAATTGGTCGCGTCGAATCGTGCGTAGTTCGTTCTGCAGGGTTTTAACTTAAAAGATTTGGCAGTTCCTACCTGGTAGACCTTGTCGAGGCTGTATCCAAGTTGGAAGGTAGTGATGTAGTCGAGCATGAACGAGACACAATACCCAAAACACAGAAAAACCCAAGTTCCTTATGAAATGGGAAATCGGCTAGCCAGGTTTGAGCTTAGCCTGGGAGCTAGGTATGTCAAAAAAATGAACGGGTTGCAGGTACGTCACCAAGCGTCCCTGGTGATATCCTAGGAGCATATGAGGAGCTTCGTTGGATGGAGCCTCATACGTCATCTCCATCCCCCTGCATTGTTGTATGAAAATGTGCAATCAACCATGCCCTGCGCTAGAAGGGTGTACACACACACACACACGCCCCACTAGGTGGCAAAGCTTGTTATGGCCAAGATGAGCGCATGTTCTTTGTAAAGTGGCACCGTTGCAATCTTACGAATCTGCTCAGAAACGCCCCTTTGGACATGTAAGCGCCGGAGTTGTGGCATGTTGCGGCTGTTCTAGCCGTTGGTAGCAAAATCACCCAAGCCCATGTTGCACTTGCTCCCAACCTATCTGAGCCAACATACGCAATATTGTCTGAACCCTTTACGTCAGCCGTGGTTTGGTGTGGTAGGCTGCAGTGTCAGGACATTTTGGATGAACCCGCCAACACCTATAACCTGGAGTGGTGACTCCTAAGTATGCGTGTAGCAAACACCACTGCAAATATACGACAGACGACAATTGACCAACCGACCAGTGTGCCACATTGACAGATGAGAAAGCGACAAACAATGACAAACATATTTTTTTGCATTTAGGTCGACCTGTATCCTAGCGCTACCTTTGTCTGCCCAGCCATCAGCGGCACAACGTGTAAACGGTATCGACCAACATCCTAGAGTTTTCTGCTTTACCCAGTGGCCATCAGACTACATGTACGCGTCAAAACATGTAAACGCTAGACTGACATCCTTGGTTTTTCCAGCTTCGCCCAGCCGCCATCAAACGGAGTTTACGCGTCAAACCATGTAAAACACTATAGGCTGACACCCTGGTTTTTTTTTGGCTTTGCCCAGTCGCCATCAGACGGAGTTTACGCACCGACACATGTAAAAAGTAGACTGACATCCTCGGTTTTTTCGGCTTTGTCCAGTCGCCATCGGAGTCTACGCATCGAAACATGTGAACGCAAAAGCCTGACACCCTGGTTTTTTTTGGCTTTGCCCAGTCGCCATCAGACGGAGTTTACGCACCGAAACATCTAAAAGTAGGCTGACATCCTGGGTTTTTTCGGCTTTGCCCACTGGCCATCAGACGGGGTTTGCGCGTCACAACATGTAAGCACTAGACTGACATCCTGGCTTTTTTCGGCTTTGCCCAGTGGACATCAGACGGAGTTTATGCGTCACAACGTGTAATCACTAGACTGACATCCTGGGTTTATTCGGCTTTGCCCAGTGGCCACCAGACGGAGTTTACGAGTCAAAACATGTAAATGCTATAGACTGACATCCTGTTTTTTTTTCGGCTTTACCCAGCCGCCATCAGACGGAGTTAACGGATCGAAACATGTAAAAAGTAGACTGACATCCCATGATTTTTTATGCTTTGCCCAGTGGCCATCAGACGGAGTTTGCGCGTCAAACCTGTGAACGCAAAAGGCTGACACCCTGGGTTTTCGCGGCTTGGCCCAGTCGCCATCAGACCTAGTTGATGCGCCAAAACATGTAAAAAGTAGACTGACATCCTGGTTTTTTCGGCTTTGCCCAGTGGCCACCAGACGGAGTTTACGCGTCACAACATGTAAACACTTTAGACTGACATCCTGGGTTTGTTCGGCTTTGCCCAGTGGCCATCAGACGGAGTTAATGCATCGAAACATGTGAAAGTAGACTGACATCCATGGATTTTTCGGCCTTGCCCAGTGGCCATCAGACTACAGTACCCGTCACAGCATGTAAGCACTAGACTGACACCCTGTTTTTTTCGGTTTTGCCCAGTGGCCTACAGGCTCAGTTGACATGTCGAAACATGCATATCAGTCAGGGCGCGCGCTTCACACATGTTTATAGTTTTGTCGTTTTGCTCCAGCTTCGCACGGCTACCAACCAAATCAAACTGTGTTGGTGATGTGTTTGGAGCCGGCTTGACTGATAATTATTTTGCAACTTGGGATGTGGATCGAAAATCCAAATGACTTGCTGTTGTTCTGCGTGTGCTTCTGCTGCCATCGAAGAAACGCGACAACCTTATGCAACAACCCAGACGTTTCATGGACAGAGACTCAGAGAAACAGTGTATATTCAAACTCCAAGTTGCACTGAGATAAAACAAAACAATATAAATAAATCCAAAACCACCCCGCCAAAGGACAACACCTAAAAAGGGTGGAAAAATGCATCAAGCAAACATAGCCGCGATCAGGTTTTGAATGCATTAAAGCTGCACGCGCTCTTCTGAACTATTCTCCTTGTCTCTGACTATGTGTGGCATTGCCTGCAGTTGGTCGGCCCTTCTAGGGTTTCATGGCTCTAAGCCTGCACGAACTCTTGTTTGCATGCCTCTCAGCTGCGTTGGCATTTCGAGCTTAAACTGGGTCACTGACCTGTCCTGTTTGCACACTACCCCTGCAACATAGAGGCATGGAGCCCCCCCGGACTATATAAGCCGGGGCGACATTAACACACTGGATTGGTTTTAAGAATTGGAGCTGGTTCCAAATTGGTCGCGTCGAATCGTGCGTAGTTCTTTCTGCAGGGTTTTAACTTAAAAGATTTGGCAGTTCCTACCTGGTAGACCTTGTCGAGGCTGTATCCAAGTTGGAAAGTAGTGATGTAGTCGAGCATGAACGAGACACAACTCCCAAAACACAGAAAAACCCAAGTTCCTTATGAAATGGGAAATCGGCTTAGCCTGGGAGCTAGGTATGTCAAACAAATGAACGGGTTGCAGGTACGTCACCAAGCGTCCCTGGCGATATCCTAGGAGATCCTAGGAGCATATGAGGAGTTTCGTTGGATGGAGCCTCGTACGTCCTCTCCATCCCCCCTGCATTGTTGTATGAAAATGTGCAATCAACCATGCCCTGTGTTAGAAGGGTGTACACATACTAGACAAGAATGGATCATTTGAGTGATCCGGCAGGAACTGAATCCTGAAACATGCAGATTAGATAGGAAACAAAGAAATCAACGATGCATCTTCAAATAATAGAAGTTCTCCTGCATGGTCTCCATGTCCAAAAACGTCATCAAAATACATGGGCGACATGATATTGACGAAAAAATCAAAATACAATCGGCGATGTGGTTTCGGCGAAATGAGCAAAATACATCGGCGACATGGTTTCGGCGAAAATACAGATTGTGGCAACCGTGAAGAAATAAAATTGACTTGGAGGTTCTTGGGTTGAGCCTCTTCCCATCACCAGACATTGACAATTGAATGGAAGCAAACCCTGAACAACAGGTAGTCACAACAATGCAGGTACACCAGGGTGATCAGCCCCGGCTTCCACCATCATGCATAGCTTCGTTGGCATGCGTTTGCATGATGGCCGCATGCCCCCTGCATAAACAAAAAAACGAACAAACGTCGAAGTTTTACATCTCTACAGATGAGTCACACACACCCTGCCAAAGCAGGGTGTCATTTTTGGAAGAATATAGCGGTCTTACATGTCGATGCACGAATTGTTGTGAACCTTCGAAATTGTGACTTACAAGGCTGCTGTCAGTCTATTCAGAAGTTGAGCTCGAAGCTTGCTGCAGAACTTGGATCGCGTCGTGGAAGCTCATGTGTGCCACCATTCTCCATGGGTCGCTAAGTTCCCCAGATGCCGTAGCTGCCGTCAGTGAATCCGATAACTGCCTGGCCAAAGCCGGGATAGTAGTGACATGTCCTGCTTCGTCTGGCGATGGAGTCGTCTCAATGGCTACGTTGCGAAAAGGATTGTTCCCATGTAGTAGAGGAATTTCAAAATGATGGCGCCAATAATCTGCAGTTTGCAAGGACCATTCCCAATTTCCCGAGAGGCCATAGAAGAAGTGTTCAGGATCTCGACATTTAGATAATTCCCGAAGTTGGTATCTCCTCAATAAATAGCTCACGTTCGTTGGAGTGTGTAAAGATCTTGAAGTGAATCTGATGAACCACTCGTGCGGTAAAGTGTGCATGGCGGTGAGCACTGAAATGTGGAGGATCGTGCGTCGGGAAAGGAACTGCAGGTTGAGGAGGGGCTGAGTATGTGTCCATAGGTGCCGCTGCCGCTAGGTCACTAGACGTACTCATTGGTTCCAAAGATGCCGAAGGAGTCGAGGTCGGGTTTGTAGAGGCATCGATAGTACTTGCATCGGGAACGAGTGTAGAGTGGGTTCCGCGATTCGAGGTCAAAGGCCATCCCAAGCCCGCTGAAGTTGCGTCACGCTTGTTCTCCATGGGTGAAACAATAACTCAGATGAAAATTTGAGAAAACCAAAAGCTGAGGGGACGAAAAATGTGACCAACCAGGAACAACGTGGAATGACAAGGAGCATCAAAGGTAGATACGCCATTCATTGTGATCGAAGAAATGAAAATGTCACAAACAGGATTCAGTTCCTAAAACCTAGAAGTCGTGCGTTGTGCCACTCCAGGCCCGTGTTCAGGTCAGCCACAATCGGCATAAACGGCTTTCAAGTTCCAGCGAATTAGGTGCACAATATGTTTGACCTCACCAGAGAACCATCAAAAGAAAGAAGACCACACCTAAAGATCGTGTACCTGCCTGCGTTCTGTCTCATGTAATGTAACTGCAAAGGTTGCTGCGAAAGAAGGAGGTTTCTGAATGTTCAGAACAGCTTCAAAGATGAAGAAATGCGTCGGCGAGGAATCCCTGGGACCACAGGAGCCGCGGGACTTCGTCAAAGGCACAAAACGGTAAGGCCATTTGTTGCACATTACTTAAACGAATTACTAATTCAAAAGTGTAAATTCGGAAGTCAATTCAGTCGACATTGACCCCAACTGGGGTTGCCTCAATTGGCCCTATGGCACCATGTCGGAGTCACCATAGCAATCACACTAGACAAGAATGGATCATTTGAGTGATCCGGCAGGAACTGAATCCTGAAACATGCAGATTAGATAGGAAACAAAGAAATCAACGATGCATCTTCAAATAATAGAAGTTCTCCTGCATGGTCTCCATGTCCAAAAACGTCATCAAAATACATGGGCGACATGATATTGACGAAAAAATCAAAATACAATCGGCGATGTGGTTTCGGCGAAATGAGCAAAATACATCGGCGACATGGTTTCGGCGAAAATACAGATTGTGGCAACCGTGAAGAAATAAAATTGACTTGGAGGTTCTTGGGTTGAGCCTCTTCCCATCACCAGACATTGACAATTGAATGGAAGCAAACCCTGAACAACAGGTAGTCACAACAATGCAGGTACACCAGGGTGATCAGCCCCGGCTTCCACCATCATGCATAGCTTCGTTGGCATGCGTTTGCGTGATGGCCGCATGCCCCCTGCATAAACAAAAAACGAACAAACGTCGAAGTTTTACATCTCTACAGATGAGTCACACACACACACACCCGTTCCTTTCACTCCGCAAGCTGCCACAATTCGAGTTGCCCGGGTGCGAGGTTCCACTGCATGCTTCGATATGTGCATCATTTGGATCCGCTTTTATGCTTGGACAACGACCTGCTGCCCTGTGTTGAATGTGATGTGTCAGCATTTGCGACACAGAAACATCTTCAAGCAAGCATAATGTGTGTATACCGTAATTATGTCATCTATGTACGCACAATCATGCGGGGCGTCATGTGCCATCCTTATTATCATTATCAAGAGATCGGCGAAATTCTACAAGGCCTATGTCCAGACCGGCATGTTCTGCGTGTTGCTGTTTTGGTGTGTCTGGGCTGCTTTGCATGGAGCTTGGGCCATTGGCTTATCCCATATGTGCAGCCAGGCCATGCAAGTCTACAGAGCCGCCGACAAGTACCAGATTTTTGGCCTGACGAAACCCCAGAGACTGACACAGAAGTGTAGCTGGCCGTGACAAGAAAACCTTCTCTTCAACCTTTCAATGACTTGGATGAGGCTTGAGGCTTGCGGGACCTTCATCGACGAACATGTCGATCCAAGCAATGTGACGCAGGTTCCTCCAATCCGCAAGTGAAGTCATGCACCAGGTAGAGACCTCATGAGTTCTTGCATTGTTTAGATTATTATATATATCGAAATAGTATCGGTGTATATACGGATGTGATATATGTGTAGTAGATTAGATTATTTGTTCATTTCCTCAGTGATTTGTGGATATTTGTGGCATGTTTTTGCCATCATTCTCATTTTTTCGGATCGCGCACGCCCTCGTGAAACTTTTGTTGGTATTGGTGACACGCTCTGACAAGATATACCGAGGGCACACTGCCATTTTTATGATCCACCAGCACCTCTGCACATTTGCGAGCTATCTCGAATAATTTTGACACCTACAGAGCTAGAGAATCCTTTGTTTCAATGCCCGCACCATTTCCGTTCCTCATTGATCAGTGGATGTGGTGACAAGGTAGTGACACTGTGGTGACAGTGTGGTGACAGTGTGGTGACAATGTAGTGCCAATGTAGTGACAATGTGCTGTAGTGATGGTGTAGTTGATGTTTGCCGTTGATGCTTGCTGTTGATGCATGCATGTGCAGAGGTCCTGACGCTTTTTGATGTAGCCTGCAGAATGGGACTGGAACGGTCATATCCTCAGATCAAGCTTTTCATTTTTTCAACGCAGTTTGTATATGACCCAATATGACGTAGTGGTATTGAATATTTTTGACATGTCGGCTTTGGGTTTTTTTGGTGGTGGTTGCACTGTTCCTAACGTTGTGCCGGAAATTTCCACTGTAGATGTCCAGCATATGTCCAGCCACGACAACATGGTTTTGTTTGAGGTACTCGCACACCTTTTTGCAGATTCTTGAGCAGCTCTCGCGGGTTCAGACTCGTCAGGTGCGGTTGGTCAATGTTCGTCGTGCGGGTCATCCTTCACCCCCAGAATTGGCTCAGAAAGAATATATTCAAACCAATACTCACGCAATTTCTGTTTTTTTCATTTTTTTTCGGGATGTCGTACTTGAGAGTTTGATGGATGGGCTTGCGGAAGCCGATATGCTGGATTTGGATTTGGATCAGGTGCTCCAAGCCAAAGAGTTCTTGGAGCTGCACTCTGTGCTCGGAACTGAGTGTCATGCAACGGAAACAGAAGACCTTTTCCCGCACGCTTTCCGGCCGAAGCAGCAGCCGTCCTAGATCCACAACAAATTCCACATGCCGAAGACAACCCAATGGGCTCGTTCGACCACAAACACCTCTATTACATTCCATTATGCAATCTATTACATGATGACATATTGTCTTTGCTTCAGCAAAAAGCCGAGCTTCCTGTCACCAAATGAACAGTTTTCACCAGTTTTCCTTTTCTGCAACTCGAATTCGATGCTTGGTATGCTTGGTGGCCTTTTGGGTGATTTTGGATGCAGGTCAAGTTAGCCTATACATTCTCAGATATTCCCAGACAAGATCCATCTATTTATGGCAAGTTGCAGCTTATATAAACATTATATAATGTCTGCGCCTGATTAGTGTGAGGCCCCCCCCAAACAATTTGAGGATACTCTATAACTCGCACTTTTTTTTTGCCCCCCCTCAACAATTTTTTGGTTAGTCAACTTAAGTAAGGATTTCAATTTACTTTCAATTGATTTCAATTTACTTTTAATTTACTTTCAATTGATTTCAATTTACTTTCAAATGATTTCAAATTACTTTCAACTGATTTCAATTTACTTTCAATTGGTTTCAATTTACTTTGATTGATTTCAATTTACTTTCAGTTGATTTCAAATTACTTTCAATTGATGTCAAATTACTTTCAACTGATTTCAATTTACGTTCAATTGATGTCAATTTACTTCTAATTGATTTCAATTTACTTTCAATTGATTTCAATTTACTTTTAATTGATTTCAATTTACGTTCAATTTTTTTCACTCCCAAAAGTTGGTGCTCACAATAGTGTACTATCCAAACAATTATATTATTCAGTAACTGTGCCAATCATGAGGTATCCCCTTGAAAAATTGTCTGGGTGCTGTTTTTGAAAAAGGGTGTAATAAAGCATCTAATTATTTGGAAAACCTTGCATTTTAAAGCTTTAACACAAATATGGCTTTCTAAAGTAACGGGGCTAGCTTTACCCAAAGAAAGGTGGAGAAAGGGTTTTGTTTTTTTCACTCCAAAAAGTTGGTGCTCAGAATAGAGTACCATCCAGACAATTATATTATTGAGTAACTGGGCCACTCATGAGGTACCCCCTTGAAAAAGTTGTCTGGATGCTGTTTTTTAACAAGGGTTTAATAAGGCATCTAATTATTTGGGAAACCTTGCATTTTAAAGCTTTAACACAAATATGGCTTTCTAAAGTAAAGGGACTAGCTTTACCCAAAGAAAGGTGGAGAAAGGGTTTTGTTTTTTGTTTTCACTCCAAAAAGTTGGTGCTCACAATAGAGTACCATCCAGACAATTGTATTTACAATTATATTATTGAGTAACTGGGCCACTCATGAGGTACCCCCTTGAAAAATTGTCTGGGTGCTGTTTTTTAATAAGGGTTTAATAAGGCCTCTAATTATTTGGGAAACCTTGCATTTTAAAGCTTTAACACAGATATAGCTTTCTAAAGTAAAAGGACCAGATTTACTCAAAGAAAGGTGGAGAAATGGTTTTGTTTTTTTCCACTCCAAAAAGTTGGTGCTCACAATAGAGTACCATCCAGACAATTATATTATTGAGCAACTGAGCCACTCATGAGGTACTCCCTTGAAAAATTGTCTGGATGCTGTTTTTAATAAGGGTTTAATAAGGCATTTAATTATTTGGGAAACCTTGCATTTTAAAGCTTTAACATGCTTTAACACAAATATAGCTTTCTAAAGTAAAAGGGCCTTATTTACTCAAAAGAAAGGTGGAGAAAGGGTTTTGTTTTTTTTTCCACTCCAAAAAGTTGGTGCTTACAATAGAGTACCATCCAGACAATTATATTTACAAGTATATTATTGAGTAATTGAGCCACTCATGAGGTACCCCCTTGAAAAAGTTGTCTGGATGCTGTTTTTTAACAAGGGTTTAATAAGGCATCTAATTATTTGGGAAACCTTGCATTTTAAAGCTTTAACACAAATATAGCTTTCTAAAGTAAAAGGACCAGATTTACCCAAAGGAAGGTGGAGAAAGGGTTTTGCTTTTCTTTCCACTCCCAAAAGTTGGTGCTCACAATAGAGTACCATCCAGACAATTATATTATTGAGTAACTGAGCCACTCATAGTGTAATTAATTAATTAATGAAAAAGGAAGCAATTTAAAAAATATGAAAAGGAAGCAATGAAAAAAATGAAACAATACAAAATAAAAAAAATAATTAAATAAAAATAACATATAAATATATAACATAAAATTAAAAAATAATAAATAGAAACAAAAGCAATAAAGCATTTGGAAAAATAAAATGGAACAAAATCTGGAAAAACAAATCTCACAATAGAGGCCCCCCAACAAACAGCATGTTACTGAATTAGGAGCAAGAATTTTCTCACAATAGGGTACCATGACACTAATCGGGTGCAAACATTATAAACTTAAGATGCCTATATATGTGTTGTCCTGGTTCGCTGCTCGGTGACTGATGTCTTTTGACTCTTAATTAATGGCTTTAGATATTGTGATACCGATACCGATGCCGTTGAAATCTTGTTCCTTCCCATTTCCATTTGCAGAATATGTTTCTTGTGTGTGAGGGGTGCGGCGCAGCCAGCAAAGAATGCAAAAGAGACTGTTGGAATTTTGATTTGTTGCCTGCTTTTGAAGGGTCAAGTCAATGATGTTGCACAGGTTTTAGACACATGTGTCCTGCCACGGTGAACCCAAGGTCCTTGGCCACTCTTCTAGGCTCTGATGGGCTCTGTGTGCATGAGGCCGTCAAACACCCTGAGTGGAGTTCACTTCTGTTTGCAAGGTGTTGAAGCATGGCAAAACCAGCACACATCGGTACACATCGCAATGATGCAAATTGCGATGCAAACTGCCATGCAAATCACGATGCAAATTGCTGCAGTACAAACTTCATCAAACTTCAATGCTGCGAAGATTTGAAGAGATTTGAAGATATTTGAAAAGTGAGGAGCTCTTGTGGACCGCCATCCGATCCTGGGCAGAGGTCCGAGCGTGTGAAGCCTGGTTCGCTGAAGGTCATGAGTCATGGTGCCGTCAAAACTATAATATATATATATATAATGTGTATATATATATATTGTATGTATATATATATATATTATATTATATGTATATTTATATATATACATATTGTGTATACGTATATAATTGACCGCCTTCGGCGTGTTCCGCCGGCCACCACGGAAAGAGCTATCCTGCTTGCCGTAAACAGCACTTGCACAGGCCTTGGAAGAAAATAGTTTTTGTGTAAAACATGATTTTTGTGCATAACACGGTTTTTGTGTAAAACAGCGTTTTGTGTAAACCATGGCTTTTACGCGAAACATGGTTGTTGTGTAAACCATGGTTTAAGTTTAAGCCAAAGCATGGGTGCGTAAACTAGGGTTTTGAGAAACGGCCATGTATAGAAAGCACCTATAGGGAAGCGGGAGATGGGGGGGAGGGCGGTGGGTTGCAGTTAGACGAGGCAAAAACCCGCGCCAAGCGGAAAGTCTAGACGAAGACAAAGGACAAGACAGACATTACAACTTCGAACATTCAAGATCCACAAGACATGCCGGCAGGCCGGCGGATTCTATAGGGTTCCAATACATAAATGCTTGCTTAAGGTAATTCAATGCAGTTTGTTTTTGGATCAGCCTCGTGTTTTCTTTGTCCTCCTCGATGCAGTGTTGTAGACCAAGAATGATTTGATGAGCAAGGTGGTGTGCATCAATCCCATACCAAGGATGTACAAAGAGCAGTCGGCGGAGCCAGAGGTAACTGGAATTTTCCAGGGCTGCACGCAGTTCTTAACAGCATTCAGAATCGTTAAGCGAGCTTGAGACCGTCGCCATGTAGTGTAACATACTGCATTTGTATCCATTTTGTTGGGATCCCCTCCAACATCTTCATTGTGGTAGGCAACAGGCTATGTTGCAGAAAACAAACCGACAACCGTGGCCGCAAGTGAGCTGGTCCCGGCCTATATGTGAATGATGAATTGTTGACGTATGTCTTTCACAATCCCACATTAATCCGACACACACACACACACTCTCGAATTTCGCTACCGCTAAGGTCCCCAGCTGGCAGGATGCTATCAGGTGCTTCATGTGGAAGATCAATGCGTCCCCCTTCACATCCTTGATCCTGCGCGTAGAATCGATTTAGAACTTCGAATCATTACATTTCCAGACTCCTTCCACAACTTTGCATCAGGCCTTTGAGACATTTGATCCGGTTCCCAGCAATGTCTGCCAAAGCCTCTGGAGACCGGGCCAAACTTCCTTTACCCAAACAGACTGGCAAAATATAACTGCGGTTTGGGAAACATGCACAGAGTACCACTGCACCCCCACTAAGGTCTTTTTTAAAGTTTTCACAGTCGTTGAGACGTCCTCCGACTGTTGCAACTTGGCTCAAGGGCCAATCAACTGACTGGCTCAATTTACCGAGCCCAACTTGGAGTGAAAAAGTGCACTTGCATCTGCCTCTTGGTGGGGACCTCCGGGAAGGGTCTCGGTCATAGTCTGAAACCCGTGGGTTATGAGCCCAACCCCAACGCTGCCTTGAAGCAATGTCGAGCAGCGACTTCACTCAGCGTCGTCGACAAGAACGCCAAGTTCAAGCGGCTGCTCATGCTGAAGAAGTACAACATGGGACCCATGGACATGGAAAAGAAGAACGCGCGGAAACGGCAGACCAAATGCTGGACCGGCTTCTGGAGGAGATGGACGCACCTGGACAAGCACATGGGGAAAGAACAGGGACAAGATCATCAGACTCAACCCGAAGATCACTGATGGAAGGGGAAGTTGGAGAAAGTGTGATGGCACTGACCGGTGCTGGGGGAAGTGGAGCCCTAGTGCAGGTTGCGGCGGTCCGGGCTGGAGCGGGCGAACGAATCGCCCAGAATCCGGCTGTTGCGGAAGAAGTCGCAAGACCAGTGTCCTTACCACCTGAAGAACCTCCTGGACTTGAAGTGGTACGAGGAAATGGGAGTGGCGGTCTGTTGTCTGGTTTGACCCCAGGTGTGAATAGTCTAACTCTTTCGGGAGTGCCTATGACACAAACACCAGTAGTTGCCCGGATGTCTGAGGGATTTCGTGAACCACCTGTTGTGGGTAATCGAGAAGAAGGACAGGGGTGGAAAACACCAAAGCTCAACTGAAGTGAGTGGAGGTGCGGCTGCTGTTGTGGAAACCGTTGCTCTTTTGGAGCGACCGGGACGTTCACCTGTTGAGTCTCCTGAAGATGCACGCGTCAAACAATCGGTGCCAGCGGCACCAACAGGCTCACCTGTGATCTACCAGCCAGCGGGAGCACCTGTGGTGTATACCGCAACTGGTGGAACACAGGGTTCGCAAGTAGCTGGGATGTCCCAGCAATCCATGTGTGCTGGAGTGCCACCTACGGGAATGGTGCCTCAGTGGGGAACGGCGGTTGTGGATCCTGGGATTGTAACCGGGGTCATGGCTGCAGAGGAAACGAATCCATGGAGTGCTGCCAAGCGAGTGGAAGCTCTAATGAGCAGTCCACAAACTCCAGTGAAAGAGCTGACTTATCCCATAGTGTCGCAAGACCTGATTGATCAGGCGGACGCGAGGGAGAAGGAAAAGTATGAGGAGTTGAAACAGCAAATGATGGAATTCTTTCAACGGGGCAAGACCGAGATCCAACAAGATCGAGAAAATTGGTTAGCCACGCGGGAAGAGAAACGTGCCCTGGAACGGGTCCGAGAAGCCGGAGGAGGTCACAAGGGCTCTCAGTCAAGTGGGGGGTCTTATCAAACCGCCTCGCCGGAGCTGAAGAATGTCGAGCAGGGTTTTCCTGTGGGGCCACCTCAAGGTGTTCCACCCCAGGTACAACATGTGCAAGATCAACCAGTTCCAGGAGTTCAACATCACCATGATCAAGATCTTCAAATGCAGGCGGGAGGTCAGTTGTGGAATGTTCCTCCTGCGCCCAAGGTCGAACAAGGTTTTCGGCCGATGGATGTGTATATGAATCAAGGGTGGCTAATTGGAATACCACCGGGAGGTATGCCACAGAGAGCGGCGTCAAGACCACCGATGGGAGTTCCTTGCATGGGAGCCACGGAAAACACAAAACACTTTTTCATCGGTGACCAACCTAATCAATGGTATAATCCTCAAGTCCATGTTGGAGGAGCGCCTGCAGGACAAGATCATCGACCTCAAGGGGTTTTTGCATTTCCGGGAGGAAACACCGGACCTATGGGTGGTTATGGTTGGCCAGGGGGTCCACCGCCAGGGCAGTATGGAAATCCCGGACAAGCACCTGGTCCGCCAGGTGGTCATCAGGGAAATCCCGGTCTCCCAGGTGGTCATCAAGGAAATCCAGGACAAGCTGCACCGCCACAACAACAACAAGCTGTAGTCCAAGCAGGACCTCAGGCAGGGGGAGAAGTACCAGGCGAAACGCTAAGATCGGTCGAATTGCCGAAGCTGGACAGGAATGCAACATCTTTGGACTTTGGAGACTGGCTGACAGTTGCCCAACAGATGATTGGGGATGTGAGCTACACCTCAGAGCAATGGTGGGAAGTAGTGATGACTGCTGTTGAACAAGCATACCACCACTGGTTGCAAGCGGATCCACTCATGAGGCTCCGGATGGCGCCTGTGATACCTGACATGGCCCGTAGGTGGCCTCGCACAGAGAAACGGGTGGTGGGTATGCTGCTTCAAGCCGTCCCCAAGGACATCTACGAGGACCTTGTGGCGAACAGACACATGTCAGCGGGTCAAGTCATGTTCAAGCTGTACACCGTCTTCCAACCTGGGGGACAAGTGGAAAGAACTGCCCTGCTGCAAATGTTGGTGGACTGGAAATGTCCATCTAATAATGCTGCAGAGATGGTCAACTCCATCCGGAAGTGGAGAAGATGGGTGGTTCGTGCCGAAGAACTTCAATTGGTTTTGCCCGATCCTCTGGTTTTGGCCGGAGTGGTCGCAAAAATGAGTGATGCCTTGGCCAGATTGGGGGGAGCTCAAGCTGCCTACCGGTTGTCTTCGGTGAGACAGCATTTGGGCATAGATCTCCGGCCGGGAATGCAAGAGATCAGAACGTTTTCTGAACTTCTTCAAGCTGAAGCTGGTGAAATGGCTCTCCGTCAACCGGGGAACATAACACAGGGCCCAGCGGCTAAACCCAATAATGTGGTAGGGGTGAAGTCAATGAGTGGGCCGGATTCATCTGGAAACCCACCAAAGGGCGCTTCAAAGGGAAAACCAGAAGACGCAGCAGGTTCTTCCACCGGAAGGAGGGGAGAAAAGCCCGAGCTGCCGATTAACGCGGCTAATGTGGTCCACAAGACTGCGTGCATCAACTGGCTGACAGATAAGGGATGCCAATATGCTGACCGGTGCCGATTCACGCACACTGTCCTGGACTCCAAAGATGGCCGATGTTTCAACTGTTCTGGAAGGGGACACTCCCGACGTGATTGTCCGGCGGGAAAACGAAGTGAGTCACGAGGTCCACAAGGTGGATCCGAGGAACCAAAGGTGGCCAAAACCACAAGAATCCGCTCAAGATCTCAAGAGAGGAAAAATGGTCCTGGAAAAGAGGGAGGTGCTGCTCAAGAACATTCTGAACCTACCGTGAAGATCAATCCGATGAAGGAGTCCACGGTCACTATAACCCCTGTACCAGAGGAGGCCAACAAGGTTGTGGGAGAAGTGACCAACCTTTTGAAGGGTCTCAATGGACCGGTCTTGAAATCGGTGGGGCATGGTGGGGATCATCTCGAAGTTGAATTTGATGATGGAACAGGTTTATTGGATGGTGGGGCGACACACCCCTTGAGACAGGGATCAACCGAGGAGATCAAGAACGCGGTGCAGGTCACTGTGGAACTCGCACATGGAGCTGCTCAGCTCTATCAAAATCCTGTGAATGGAACCCTCTTGTCGGAGGGACCGGTGGAACCAATTGTACCTCTTCGAGGTTTGGTGGAATTGGGATACACCATCACTTGGTCCCGTGCAGGATGTGCTGTGAAACATCCACGACTGGGAAACATAGAATGTTGGTTAAGGTCTGGGTGTCCAGTGGTTCGAAAGGACCACGCTCTGGCTCTGATCACTGAGATTGAGCACATGGAAATGGAAAAGAGGACCAACCATCGGCTCACCTTGGAAGAGCCCACGGAGAAGACCAAGAAGTGGTGGGGATCACGATTTCCGGAAACACCGGACAGAATTTGGAATTACATGCGGGGTCAAGATGAAGAAGATCCGCAAATGAACCATGATTTACCATGGAACCGGCACAAAAGAAGGAGGCTGCTCACCTCAAAAGGGGTTATAGTCCACCTTTTTGCTGGAGAAAGGGCGAAGGAATGGCGAAAGAATCCCATCAATGGGATTGAAGTCATCACTTTGGATATCAATGAAGGTCGAAATCAAGATATACACAATCCGGGAACATGGAGTTTCCTTTGGAAACTTGCAAGCCTGGGAAAACTTCTTGCTATCATCGGGGGACCTCCCTGTCGGACGGTCAGCCGATTGAGGCAGAAACAACCGGGACCAAGACCATTGCGTGGACGTTTCCATGACCGGTATGGTCTACCAGGATTGACAGACCGGGAGAAGAACTTGGCTGATTCAGATGCAGCACTGCTGCTGAAACAAATTGGCCTGTTCATAAGGTCTGAAGAATGCCGCGAGCGTCATCGTGTGAGAACCGCTTTCCTTTTGGAGAGCCCACAGGATCCGTTGACGTATGTTCCACAAGCTCGCGAAGAAGAAAGTCCAAGCTTTTGGGCATGGCCGGAGTTAATGCAGCTGCTCCGCTACCAAGGAATGGGTTTGGTATCCTTTGATCAAGGGTGCTTTGGGCACTCACGACGGAAACCGACCACGTGCCTCACAAACCTGGAGGACATGAGAGACTTGGAAGATCAACGCAGCACCAAGCACTCCGAGGCCCTGCCAAAGGACATCAAAGACCGTTGCCATTTGTCGTCCACCTGGGCGGTATGGGCACCGGGATTAAGGGCTGCCATCCGAGAAGCGCTTCACCGACATCTCAAACGGGAAGGCGATGAAACTGCGGGTGAAGAGCCACACTTGGCCAAGATGACGTCAGAGGAAGCCTGGGAAGCCCATATTCGTCAAGGCCATCGACCATATAGAAGGGATTGTAGGACTTGTGTTTTGGAAATGGGTGCAAGGTCTCCACATCGGAGGAGACGCGATGCTACGACGTCGTCATGGGCGATGAGCG